ATGTTTTGCAGCTGGAAATGCTGGGGTGGAAGGGCGAGGACCTGAGCCCAAACCAAGACGGAAGCATTGACCGCATCATTCTGGAGCCTAGCGATAAGAAGCGGTCTCCTAGCGATGGCGCCTTCGTCAAGGGTAAGTCGGGGGATTATCTAGTTTCTGTGGTTGGCTTAACCGCAATCGGGGTCTGTGACTTGCAGCCCACATTTCTGGTACATTCGAGGGAAGAGTGTTTGAGGATCGTGAAGTGGAGTTTGACTATGGCGAGGGCAGTGCCATCGGTCTTGTGGATGGCGTTGAGATTGCCCTGGAGAAGATGAACATAGGAGAGACTTCAAGGTAAAGAATATTGACACGGACACGGGGATCCATTCAAAAATCGATTTTCCATTAGAATCAAAATTAAACCAACGTATGCATTTGGCGGCACCGGCAATGAGGCATTTAAGATTCCACCCAATGCCACAGTCGAGTACAAGGTGAAGCTTATCGACTGCGGCAAGGGTCTGGAGGAGTGGAAGCTTAGCGACACTGAGCGCATTGATGAGGCCAAGGTGTACAAGGAGAAGGGCACCAATTACTTCAAGAAGGAGAACTGGGGCCTGGCCATCAAGATGTACACCAAGTGCAAGAATCTGTTACCCAACAGCGCCGACACCAACGAGGAGGTAAAGAAGCTAAAAGTGGCCACACACAGCAACATTGCCCTGTGCCACCAGAAGTCCAACGATCACTTCGAGGCCAAGACAGAGGTAGGTACTCATAGGCCAGGCGCACATCAACCATTTACATTTTTTTAATTTTCTTTAGTGCAATGCTGTGCTCGCCCTGGAGGCCAACAATGTGAAGGCCCTCTATCGTCGCGGGCAATGCAATCTGATCATCAATGAGCTGGAAGATGCCCTGGAGGACTTCCAAAAGGTTTGACATCACATCATAGAGAGACAATTTGCGCATGCTAAATGAAAGATTGTTTGGTTAGGTCATTCAATTGGAGCCTGGCAACAAGGCCGCTGCCAATCACGTGGTCATCTGCAAGCAGAAGATCAAGGAGACAAAGGACAAGGAGAAGAAGCTGTACGCCAATATGTTCACGAAACTGGCGGCCAACGAAAAAGAGGTATAATATGCCTATCAACGAGTCATAGGTGATTTTTTCATCCCCCTCAACTCTCTTGTCTTTCGAAGACCGAACCACCACGGGAAACAGATGTGCTCAGCAAATGCGGAGAATGGTCGGAGGAGGATGCCAAACGCGAGGCTGATCTAACGCTAGAACGCGACAATATAATTATGATCTAGTCGAGAGGACAAAGATGATCAATTGTTTAGCAGTTTAAGTACTACTCCTTAATGGTCGAGTGAGCCGGCCCTTAATTATTTCCACATCGAAAATCGAAACAAAATTTAAGCTAAATATTTAACATGCAAAAATGGTACTTCATTATATGAAAAAAAAATATAAATAGCATTGAAACCCGTTTACTTTTCTCATTTGTCTCGCGGCAGCAGCTGGAAGCTCGGCCGTGGCTCCCTGTCGCGCAGCCACAGCGGCAAAGTCGGCACCTGGGCCTTGATATACTCCGAGGCACGGAAACAATAGCCGGAGCAGAATTTCTTCCGCTCTGTGAGATCGTATACCTTGTTTCGCGTTGCGCTGATTTGGTACTTCTGTTTGGGTACACTGCAAGTAATTCGGTTAGTCCGTCAGCCACCTTTTGCAGCGTCCACTTACTTCTCTAACGCGTTGGAACAGAGCGGGTAGCCGCAGTTTTTGCTGATTTCCCGCTCGTCCACAACGTCGATATAATTGTGGGGTGCGATTTCCCAGAGCTGGGGATAGGAGGAAATGTTAACTAAATCTTAGATACCATTAAAAGCCATGCAAATACCATGGCCAGAAATTCAGCCTCAGCTATGCTAGGCTCTAAGAGTCTCACAACAATTTCCTGAGCCCGCGCAATTGCGGCCCGCTTTTTCACTACCGCCGCGATAAGCTGTGCTCTGCAAAGGGTGGAATGGTTTAGAATAGTGCATTTAAGAGTCCACTAGCTTACCGTAATTGTTCATTCTTTTCTGTCATCTTTGCTGCATTGTTTTTTATAAATATTACCTACGCGGCCAAACAGATGCCGCTATCGGTTGCACTATTGATAGCACTATCGATGGCACAATCGATTGTACCGATGGTTTGTAAGAACAAAACAAATTGATGAAAAACAAACAAAAATGGTTTGCGAAAAGTGCGAGGCGAAGCTGACAAAAGTCTCGGCCCCAAATCCCTGGAAAACTAGCACTGCCCCAGCAGGTGGACGCAAGATAAATGAAAACAAAGCGCTATCCTCGGCCCGGGACCGATTCAGTCCCATGGGCACGACCCTGGCACCTTGCCGGTAAGAAACAAACAGACTTTGCCTGGGATTCCAGACCACTGATGAGATTGCTTCCCATTTCAGCATTTGCCGACAAAAGGTCCACCAGATGGGAGCCCACTATTGCCAAGCGTGCGCCTACAAAAAAGCCATATGCGCCATGTGCGGCAAGAAGATCCTAAACACAAAGAACTACAAGCAGAGTTCAACGTGATGCAGTCCATGGCCTCACGGCAGCAAGGGGTTTATACTTAAGACTAGCTTAGTTACAGACAACATAATAATTATATCAGATAATAGTATCAACAAATGCAAAAATAGTTACGTCAGGCCTCCGTCGCTGGCTCTACCTTCTCCTTTCGCCGCTTGGCATTTTGGATCTGTGAGGAGTAGCTTAGCGCCTCCTTGTCGAACTCGAGCGGCATGATGCCCAGATCACCGCTGTAGCGATTCTTGGCTATCTGCAAATACTTTTTGCCCCGCACCGATGTCAATCGCTTGTCCTGAATGATGAGCACATTGTCCGCCTCCTGTGTAGCTTTGGCAGTGCCAAAGACGGAGCTCGTGGTGAGGTCATCCTCCTGGCGCTCCTTGCGCGGATGCATGACCAGCGTTACGTGAACATTGTGCTTGGTGGCGAAGCTGCGAAAGGCTGCAATGATGGCATCCTGCTCCCAGAACTTGTCGCCGCGCATCGATGAGACTCCCATCATGAACTGAAGGTTGTCAATTATCACATGCATCACGTCGTGCACGTATGACGCGTGCTCGATGGCCTCCAGCACTGGCTTCAGCGGCTGCTGGCCGTGGAAGGTCATAAAGTAGAGCGGCATGCGCTCAAACTCCGTTGCCCAGTGATGAAACTCTTGCAGCTTATTGTCCAAGGGGTAGCCCACATATTGTCGCAGCAGCGTAGCCGCCAGACGGGTATTGCGAATCTCGAAGGAGCCCCAGAGCGTGGAAACACCCTGCATGGCCAGATCGAGAGAGTACTCGCTCATGAAGGTTGTCTTCCCGCTGCCCGTGGGTCCTGTCAGAATGGTCAGCTCTCCCCTGCGGTGGCCCTTGAGCAACTTGTTCAGCACTGGGAAACGCTTCCACTTGACGCCGTTCACCTTTTCAATGTTCTGCAGCTCGCTGAGTATGTCGTTCTTCATCGCACCAAATGTGGTGATGGCCTTGTGGCGCACCGGCGTGGCCTTGAGCAGTATGTGGCGGAGGTTGAGACGACGGCGCAGTGCCAGGTGGGGCGCTGGTTCCGTTTCTGTGGGTCTAATGAGCAGGCAGCGTTTTTCATCAATCTTTTGGGCAAATGCTCGGGCGGCATCCCAGTTGTGACTGCTATCGTAGTGCAGCCAAAAGACCAGCTCCTTGAATCGCTCCAATCCAGGCAGGCATTCCTGCGGCAGCATCTTCAGCTCGTACGGCAGGCAGACAATGCAATCTGAAAGGGAAAATCGCATTTTGTGAGCTTTGTGAATCGCAGTTAAGGCGGTTTGCACGTACGCGTTTCGAGGTTTTGGCTGGAGAGGACAATAAAGTCGATCAAATTGCTGACTAGAACCGCTTTGCTCTTGTTCCCCGTACCATGAACCAGCAACCCCGAAATGGTGGTCCCCTGAAAGGTCTCCTCATGTCGGTCGCTTAAATGCAGCACCTTTTCGCCGACCACCTGCTGCGCTGCATTCCGTAGCTTGAAGTGCAGCAGATTCTGTTCCGGCTCAAATTGGGCTCCAATGGCATTCAACTGCGACTCCTTCAAGCCCTTGATTCCAAGGGCATCACATGCTTCTGGCGTCACATCTATTAGGTTGGGAAAACGCGTTTCATAGACGGGCTTTTTCTGTGGGGGACGCTGGTAACCGGCTGGCGTGGGGACCTGATAAGCCGCCAGAGCATTGGCCAGCGAGGTTTTCAAATCACAGTTTGGGCAAATGAAGGCACCTACAAAGAGAAATACATAAACACTGTGTGCTGAAGGAAATCCCCTCCATTACACACCCGTCCGCTTGTTTACGTAAGCCAGCAGCCCTTGCTCGGCGGTGCCGCCTCTTGTCTGTGCTGCAGCCGGCTGCCTGTTACGTTCACACAGCCGGCACTCCAATTGTAAGCACGTGTGTCCATCCTTTGGATGTACACTGATCTGTCGCAGTTGTCTCTTAAAGTCCAAATACTCCTTGGGATCCAGTAGGCACTCCGCGTAGTCTGTGTCTATGTGCGTTGCATAGTTTTCCTTCCAGACTCTGGATTTGTGGTTATTTATGCGCAACAGCGGTTTAATTAAACCGGCGCGTCTCATCGTACATGTTATCGATCAACACTGCGTAACAGTGATGATTTGAGGTGATGAAAGCCATTACTGTATTGGCCGTGTACTACCAACAATTAAATAATAAATTTCATGATTAGCATTTGTATGAAATCAGCTTTATTTCGCATTAGATTAATAGTCCGATGCAACTCTTCTTGTGGTAAACTATCGTTATCGAGCGCGGCTACTTTTGAAAGACCAGATAGCGCACCTTTACAACCTCGTAGATTCCACACACAAGAAAATATTTCAGGACAGACTCGCTCCTAAAAACAATCCCCGAATTTCCCAATCCCCATTATCAAAGAATGCTGTACTTCTTTATATTTTGTATTTCATTGGATACTTTATTTTGTATTAAATAGGAGGACAATTGATGGAATACAGCGAAGCACTGTTCAAGTGCTGTACGCCATACAGTTGAAGCCACAAAATAATAGTGATATTCTGAAATTAAACAAGGAACGTATTAGTTATCAACGTGGTAAATGCATTTTAAATATTTGAGTAAAGATTGTTAATCAGACACCTAAGCCCATCATTAAGCCGAAACTTTCTGGTGGAAACCGCAAAAGGTATTTAAGGTAATCATCATTTAAACAAATGTAATAGTACGTAAACAGCTATTAATAATTACCTTTTGCATAGGTTGGGGGATTACAGATTCTGTAGTCAGATGACCAAGAGGTATGCCAAAATGCTGCAAAATAAAGAAACGGATTAGTTTGTATAATCAAAGACCGGGTACAATATTTATTCGTATAGAAATGCTTAATCAGACACCTAAGCCCATCATTAAGCCGAGGCTTTCTGGTGGAAACCGCAAAAGGTATTTAAGGTAATCATCATTTAAGCTGCTACGAATAATCCATGTGAAATGGGAGAAAATATTACCTTGGTTTGGAGTACCATGCCGCCTGGAGTAGCCATCAGAATCATAACCTCACAGCAGAGTTCGATATCTGAAATTAGGTATATTTATTAATGAAAATCCGAACCAAATATTTAAGCTTTTAATTTGCTGATATTTTAATCAGGTTACATTTTCTCTGCACGATGATCTTAGTACAGGTCTGTGTAAAAATTCATCACGTTTCTTTAATTTTCTCTAAATTTAATGCCTTACCTTGTTACAGAGACTTTTCCACTAATGTACAGCGTCCACATGGTTCGACATAACCTACAAAAAAAGGAAAAAGCTCATTAATGCCAGAATTCATACAGAAAATCACGTTTTTTGCAATGCTAAATCAGTTTACATTTTTCCGCATGAGTCTATTCAGTACAGGTCTGTGTAAAAGTTCATCACAATAAATAAACTGCATTGCAAAAAGTTGCCCTTACCTTCAATGTCCACAGGAGTCTCACATGGGCTGATCGGCAGAGGTGTCTCATCAGCCTCCGCATGTCCGCAGGGCCTTGTGCACGCACTCACATGGCGTTAATTGTTCAAAGTTACACCAAAATATCTGGCTTCTATCCCTGCAAACCAAATACATGTTTTCCATTAGAAAAGCAGTCAATCAAAGATCACACAGCAAGAAAAATGAAATTAAATGCCATCAGATTGCCGAATAATCTTTAATGAACAAATATGGTTCAGCGAAACATTGAAAGATACAACGTTAGGCCGAGAAAAATGTTCTTTCAGTCTCGTCATCAGTTTCATCATTTTGTGGCACTAAGTTTGTTTAAATTCTTTCACTAAGTTATTTTCGCTTACCATTTTGCTGGAGTTGTTGAAGAAAAGTGAAGCCACATCCGGGCGCACGTGGAAATGTAGAACGAAAATGGCGGAACAGCAGTGCATCTAACTTGTATCGATACTCCGCAGAGTTGATTTCATGATCTTCGGTATATTTCAGCGTTGCTTTGTGGGGAAATGTTTGTATCGATACTAGTCGGGAAAAACAGCTGATGACCAAAATAGTTTTTTTTACACGTGCGCCTTTTTAATTTGATTTTAAACTGAAAATACCCTAAAATGGTAAATAAATAATTGCATTAAATGTGTCCCCTAGTAAGAGATGTATTCTTCCCCCAGGGCAAGCAAAAGAAAACCCAGAAGGTGAAGAAACAGCGCAACGCACAGCTGAAACGCCTGATGAAGCCCACAGACTCGCGTCTGAAGGAGCAACTTCGGGAAAAGCGAAAGAAGGCCGAGGACCCGCACCAGGTGAAAGTGCATGAAGCCACTCAGCAGAGCTCTGCGCTGTTTTTCCAGTACAACACCCAGTTGGGGCCTCCCTACCACATAGTCTTGGATACCAATTTCATCAACTTTAGCATTAAGAGCAAACTGGACATTGTGCAGGGCATGATGGATTGTTTATATGCCAAATGCATACCCTACATTTCGGACTGTGTGCGCGCAGAATTGGAGAAACTGGGAAACAAGTACAAGCTGGCCCTGCGCATCATATCAGATCCGCGCTTCGAGCGTCTGCCCTGCCTGCACAAGGGCACCTACGCCGATGACTGCATCATCGAACGTGTGCGCCAGCACAAGTGTTACATAGTGGCTACCAACGACAAGGATCTTAAGAACCGCATACGCAAAATACCAGGAGTGCCAATTATGTATGTGGCAGCCCATAAGTACGCCATAGAAAGGATGCCAGAGGCGTATGGCGTGAAGGCATAATCCCCTTTTAGCTTTAGTTTAAAATAAAAAATCTACTTTAAGAAATGAAAAACAGCATAGTTTGTATTTTTATGTCATTGAGTTTATTTAAAACCATTGGTTTGCTCTTGTCTGACGAGTCTAGGCATCAGCGTGCAGACGGGCTGTGGGCTTGGACAAGAAGTCAGAGTATGCCTGGTAGGGGGTAGAGCCCAGAGGCATCTCCTTCCACAAGTCTGGAGTGAGGTAAGCGTAGGTCTTGGCAATGGCAGCATAGGTGGCCTTTGCGAAGTTACCCAGGGTACCGGTGGAGCCACGGGCCGAGGTGTAGCAATCCTCAATACCAGCCATGGTCAACAGCTTCTTGGGGACGGGAGCCGAGACAATGCCAGTACCGCGGGGAGCGGGAATCAGACGCACTGAGACGGAGCCGCACTTGCCAGTAACCTTGCAGGGCACGGTGTGGGGCTTGCCGATCTTGTTGCCCCAGTAGCCACGACGCACGGGCACGACGGACAGCTTGGCGAGAATGATGGCGCCACGAATGGCGGTGGCAACTTCCTTGCTGCACTTGACACCCAGGCCAATGTGACCGTTGTTGTCGCCGATGGCAACGAAGGCCTTGAAGCGGGTACGCTGACCGGCACGGGTCTGCTTCTGCACAGGCATGATCTTCAGCACCTCATCACGCAGAGACGAGCCCAGGAAGAAGTCGATGATCTCGAACTCTTTGATGGGCAACGAGTACAGGTAGATCTCCTCCAGGGACTTGATCTTGCCTTCGCGCACCAGGCGACCTAGCTTGGTGACTGGCACCCACTCCTTGGAGTCCTCCTTGCCACCACGGCCACGGGCGCCACGTCCACGACCACGACCGCGTCCACCACGACCCCCACGAGAGCCAAAACCGCCACGGAATCCACCACGGGCTGGAGCTGCGTCCGCCATTCTGTAATCAAAAGAATAACCAATATTTCGTTAGCCCATAAAAGTTGTTACCAAAATCAATGTCATTCTTTAATTATGTGTGCTTGGATCAGACTCCTAAGGCCATCTTTAAGCAAAACGCTTTCTGGTGGAAACCGCAAAAGGTAATTGAAAGAATCATCATTTACGCACTGCTAATACTTTTTTTCATGAGTACCGTGTCTGGCATCGCCATTTTGAAACACGTGGATTCACGTGGGTTATGTTTTACTCTAAATTACAATCGAATCTTTTGTATTTGGCACGAACGGAACATGTCACAAGTATTTGCGTAGGCATACACACAAATTTCAATGTATTTTAAGCCATTTTAAACAAAATTATCATTAATTTCAGCTTACATGTGTATATTAAATGTGTTCGGGGGTGAGAGAAAAAACGAAATGACCGAGAACTAGAAAAAGTGTGACTGTGGACCCTCTAAAATATACTTTCTCATTTTAAAAATATACTGTAAATATACCGTACTCTTAAATCATATTCCTTGATTTTGATGTTCCATTTGATATTACTAGCTTGCAAATACTTTCACCACTGAAACAATCGTCTAATCCGATTGAGGAATCAATTTGGCTTATTATAATACTCCTTTTTATTGGATTACATAAAGGCATGTAATCCAATAAAAAGGAGTATTATAATAAGCCAAATTGATTCCTCAATCGGATTAGACGATTGTTTCAGTGGTGAAAGTATTTGCAAGCTAGTAGTTTGACAAATTTGTATTTTAATTTTTCATCCAAATCACCCCTTCTGGAAGCAAGGGAGCTTTGTCTTCAGTATGTAAATATATGTAAACTATACGATATTGATATTTGAACTAAAACCATCACGTCCTACTAAGGATTTCCTCAACAGGTGCGAAAAAGGTGGGAGCTTAGAAAAGTTCGTCCTTTTTTACCTACTTGCCTACCTTGACAACAAAGGAATTAGGGCAGCACTCACCCTCCCGGACTAATTTTTGGGTTTCAAATATGAGCTCGATCTAAGGAAAATATCGATATATTTAACGCCTCCGACTCATTTCTGCTCTCCATTACTTTCCTTTATAATAATACTTTATATAATATATTGAATACATTTGTGTTTGTAAAGCAATTTCTAATGTTTCTTTTTATTCAAGTCACTTATATGATTCCATTGCAACAATGTGCCCATATGTCGTGCGACCATCCAATTCGCTGTAGCGATATAATACCAAAAAGAAATGTGACCATATAGTATGACATCGCGGTATTGAAAGAGCGAGAAAATCTGCAAAAAGTTGTTAATTGTACATAAACAAAGAAAACGGGGCTGAAATGCCATAAAACATCAATCGTGAAACAATAAACATGTAAAAAGTTGGCTGGCGATGCCGTAAAACCCTACAAACATGCATTTTTCCATACCGGACACGCAGGAACTGGGCTCGCCCACGTACACTGTGTATAATATACATATAAATGGGAGCTATCATTGTTTTCTGCGCTACAAGCAGTTACATTCCTTAAACGAACAAATGCGTCGGCATTGCTCGAGTTTGAGTTTGCCCCCGTTTCCCCCAAAAAGGTTTCTGCCGCTAACCAATGGGCAGCTGGAGACGAGACGCAGTGGCCTGGAGCAGTACCTGCAAATCATAGGTCAGGATGCTCGGATTGCTCGTTTGCCGTTTCTACAACAGTTCTTCCAGCGTGCCCAGCTGGACACGGCACTGGCCGAGGGCAATGTGGCGAGTGACAGCGAGGAAAAGCAGCTTGAGGTCGAGGTGTACACTAATCCGAATGGAGCCCAGTTGCCGATTAATTGCAATGTGCAGCAGAATGCCAGTTTGCTGCTGAAGAGCGTATGCCGCGAACTGAAGCTGCCAGAAGAGCTGATGAAGTTGTTTTGTCTGTACCTGATGCGCAAAAAGCGGGAGTCTGATGAGCTGGTTCTGGTGCGTCGCCTGATGGACTTCGAGTCGCCATACATAACGCAGCTCCATGCCCAGCCATGTGAGTTGTTGCTACGCACGTGCTACTGGGACTCGAGCTGGGATGCCAAGCTGTACGGGAATAAAGTGGCCCTCAACTTGCTGTACAATCAGACCGTGGCGGATGTGAGTAGAGAATGGGTTGTCATCTGCTCGCCTGGGCTGGGTCGTCAATTGAGTCATCTTCAGATGCAAGGACGTTGCTTGGAATATATGAACGTAGTGCGCGACTTGCCCTCCTACGGCTGCCTGCAGTTTGAGGCGGCGAATGTTGACTATCCGGATCCGAAAACAGTCGCTTTGGTCAGCATTGGCAACAAGGAGCTCAGCCTACGGACGGCACGCGGCGCCAAGATATACGAGACAAAGTTTCGGGTCACCAGAATGCGCTCGTGGCGTGTGAGTGTCACGCACAATGCACTGGAGTCGAGGCATGAGCCCTCCCAGTTGCAGCTGGCATTTGAGTATTTGATTGCGAAGCAAACATTGCGCTGGATAACCATCAGCAGTGACCAGGCCATGCTGATGTCTGTATGCCTGCAGGCAATGGTGGATCAGTTGTTGCACGGCGGAGGAGAGAAACCAGCTCCGAGTAGCGATGACGAACAGGATGCGGGAGCTACTTCGTCCGCATCCACACCCAGCTCGGTATCATCAACGTCGACCTCGACCTGTGCATCCACATCGTATTCAACGACAGCGTCCATGACAACGCCGCCAGTGAAGTTTCTGGCTCAGGACTTGACACCCAAATCGAAGCAGCAAAGACTAACGACGTCCCGCACTTTTGGAGCTGTATTCTTTCGCAACGATGGCGAGGATGGTGCACATGTGGCCAATGAAGCGTTTGAGGGTATCGGTGATGATGATCTCTGAAGCGCTAGCCAAACTCTACTAATGGGTGCCAAACTAGTTGAATTTTCTTGAATATAAACAATATAACAAATATCCGCATGTTTTGTAACCACTGTAATTGTTAACAACACAACACAAATCGAAACCGCACATTTAAATTAACAAAGTTAGTCATTTTTGCGTGTATATAAAACTTTATATTCTCGGCTGCTGCTTGGCTAACCCCCAAGGGAAATGGATGAACCGGTGATGTATTTTGATGACTGCTCAACAGGAAAGCATTTTCTTACCTTTATTATTTCTAAGAAATGTTTGTTGAGTTTATTATTAATGCTGTGTAAATGGAACACTCTTTTTTTTGGACACATTTGTAACCTGCTTATTGTTTAACACTCTTATTGTAATATATTGTGAATCTTTTTTATGTTTACTCTTAGAATAAATACGTTATGCATTTGGAAAAATAAATGTACTGATAACTACTCTGTAAGGTTTATGTGCTTTTATTTCTGTGTAAGGTTTGTTTTTTAAGGGGGAAACATTATATTATTGTGTCAATAAGGCATAGTACTTTTCAAAATATGGGTATGTTGCCGCCAAATTCCATTTATCGATAAGAAATACCCCTATTTTTGTAAGAGAATATGAAGGTATATTTCTGAGGGTTAGACGGTATATTTTATCGATGAATCTGCGGTCACACTGATCATAATCCAACGAAGTAATCGCGCGCGTAAATTAAGAGATTAAAAATAAAGTGCAATGGCAGATATAAATAATCTCGCAACCGACAATTGGACGCAGAAGCACATCCTCGCTGCACCCCGCAGTCACCAAATATCTTCAAATAAACGAATAAAGAAGCTTAAAGTAACGAGTTAACAGCAGTGCCGGTATGTACCAAAATCCGCATCAAAAACATATTTACAAATATACTTTCTTGCACTTTGTTTTGGTTATTGTGTGCTAATAATATGTTGTGTTTGAGCTTACTGATGCCAAAATGAACCAAACCGAGTAGGAAATTGCGCCGAGAATAATAATGATAATAATGAAACTACTCACATGTTTACCCATAGAAAAAATGTAACGGGAATAGTTGGCATCACATGTGACAATGGCGGCGGAAATGCTAGAGGAAGAGACAGCCAAACTTTTGACTAGCGGTGATTTTATTACATGTAAACATATGGATTCACATAAAAGGTTGAGCCTTAGATTAGCGCTGAGACTTGGGTAGTCATTTGGCACTGGGGCTTGGTGTAAAGTGAAGTGCAGTGAAGTCCGTCGGGGTTAGTGTCACTCTATTGCTGGTTCCAAAATAAATATTTGCTTATGCCTAGGTAAGAGTTACGAGTAAGATAAATAGAACAGAAGGTTTTGCAGGCCTAAATGCAAGTCGACAACAAAAATGATAGCTGATAATGTCTTGCGATTGCCCGATTGCCCGATCAACCCTCTGGGATTCCAGTCCCTTGCCCAGCTGTGGATCCCACACCAGCTGTTCCCGTCTAGTTGTTGTTGTGGGTGTAGTAGAGGACTGTGTTGCCGGGCAGCTGCCAGTGGGAGGCCTTTAGCTCGATGAGCTGCAGCAGTGTCCGTCGTATGGCAGCGGCCGAGTCGCTCGCATTCAAAAAGGCATCGCGCACGAGGCTCATGAGCAGCTCCAACTGCTGTGGCAGCTGCTGCTCCACGTCCTGGCCAATGCAGGTGAGGACATAGAACAGGCACTCAACCTTGAATGAGATTATCAACAATCATTTTATCATTTAAGCTAGGGTAACGCACCTCTGAAAGCGAACGAATCGGCGGACGCACACAATCCTCGCAGCACTTGGACAGCAGACTGAGCAGCACCAATGGCGGCGGCGTGCCCTCGTGGTGGGTGCGCAGCTGGATTTGGCGACGCTTCAACTGGCAGAACATCTCCGTGAGGAAGGCCATGAAGGCCGTGAAACGAACACGGGAAGGTGACTTCATGCCTTGGATGGCAAACAGAAGCTAAGGGAAGAAATAAATCATGGATTAAGGCATCGGATACTCTTTCCTTATGGATTACCTTCTCACGCTCCTGGTACCACTGACGGCACGTATTGAGCAACGCCTCCAGGAAGGTCTCCTTCTGCTCCCTGGCTATGATATTGAGGCATAGACGGGAGATGGGCAAGGCGAAGCGACGGCTTTCCACTGCCCGCTTAATGAACTGCGACGTCAGCTCCATGAGGCAGCGCGAGTTTAGCTGATTGGGATCTTCCAGAGCTGTGTCGATCAAAGCTTGGATCTCCGGCGTAAACCCTCCAATGTCGGACATCTCATTGCCCAGGCCCAGGCCCAGACCGGCCATGCCACGGGTCAGAGCATCAGCCGAAGACAGCGACTTGGAGCGTTGCAGGGCATTGCCGTTCATATAGGGATCCAAGGAGCCGTTGAGGTTGTTCCCCTGATAGGGCTGTCCATAGTTCGGCTGGAACTGCTGGTTGTGGCTTGCCGAAGACTTTTGCTGCCCTCTGGGCTCCGGGGCAAACTTTACACGATTTGTTGTCTGCAATAAGTAAACACAAAATGTAAGTTGAAGAGAAGTTAACCCTCTATTTCGCCTTCTCACATGTAATATATTGCCACTGGATGGGGAGCTCATCAGAGGCATTTGTCCACCCACCAGCGGACTGATTGGATGTGTGACCAAAATGGAGCGATGATGACTGGCCTTCATGCCGCCGGGCATGTTGCCAAGGGAGAGACCAGCCTGTCTTCGGTTCACGTTCACATTTACGTACTGGCCGGGTCCGTTGGTGGGGAAGATCAGCGACGAACTGGAAGAATGTTGTAGATTGTAGTTTAGCTCTGCAAGGAGATGGGAAGAGGGGTAAACGATGGCATTAAAAAGGTTTTGCTTTACCGATTACTGAGTGCCTCAGTTGGCGAACAGTTGCCCGTCATCGTAAACTCCTGGGCATTCACATTCAGTTTGTTTGCACCTGCCACTGCACCACCTGCACCTGCAGCCATTTCGCCGCGCACATCTGTGACAGAGGCATTTATACAGAGGAGGAGTAGGAAGGAGTTTACACCAAGAGTTTATAGCATGATGATGTGAGGGGCAGGACATTTTTTTTTGAGTGTATATAGAGTATGAGACAGAGAGACATATGAAAAGAATCGAAAAGAAAGACATTTTTCTCAATAAATAAGTTGGTAAGGCTGTGTATAAAGCTTGCAGCTGAACGAGCGAAGCAGACAAGAAAGCGACTGAGGATTTCCCCCGGGAAAACTAACAAAGATTATGCCGTGGAAACCTCACTTCAAGCATGTATAATCTATGATATTTGCAGCTCTTCTTAAAGCATTTATATCTGTACTCTGCACTGAAGCGTAAATTTACAATCGTGTAATCTAATCTCTATCGATGCCAGCGAGTTTATATTATAATGTAGTAGAGGAATACAATTCCATAGACAGCTTAAAGTATTCCGCAAAGCTAGCTAAGCAGGAAAGTGTAAAGAAATGAATTACTCACTTGGCGGTCGATATATATCCATAGCAGGCTTGCCCCGCATCTGTCCCGATTGCTGATTTCCAGGCACATTAAAGGCCAGACTGCGCCTTTTGTTGATATTCTGAGAGCGAAAGAAACATTTAAGTAAACACCACAACCGTAGAGAGAGATAAGTGACAGCGCACCTGTTGATTCGAGGTGCGCACAAAGCTGCGTTCTCTGGATATAACGCCGGGCATCATGGGCTGAAAATCGGGCGACTTGCGCACCTTTCGAGCATCATTCTGTTGACTGTTCAGGCTGGCCTGTGAGTGTTCCACTTTCTCGGCCATTACTGTGCTGATCTGATATTTTGTTAGCCTAATCTTTGGTAGATTATATCCACTGGTTAATTGATTTTCAACTGGGATTCCTTGGAATTAGAACCTTTGGGTTCTAGGTTTCTAGTTGTGTGTTTTTTTCAGTATTTGAGTAAAAATTTGTACATATCACAATAGTTGTTGATTCCACTCTGATCCGATCCTTTGTTCTGTTCGAGTTGGAGTTGAATTTCTCTCTTCTTAATACAATGTTTGCAGAGTCAGATTGCTTGGTCTGCAAATGGAATGAAGTGGTGGATCAGAAAGATTGCAGAAAGACCAAGCCTCAAGCCCCACAAACATGTTCACCTACTCAGGAAATACATCAAAAAGATACTCAAGCTCTTCGTACAGAGAAGTGTTTATCCAAGAGAGAGACAGAGAAGTCGCCAACCGGCTTTATAGATGAGCGTAGGAGTTGCATCTGGTTTGCTGCTGCTCAAGCCGGAGCACTTCAGCTCCACAGCAGCCATGACATCAGCCGCAAAACTAATGTGAGAGCTCCAAGCGCTACCCACCCAGATGTAGAGTACTAACCATGTACATATCGTATGTCTACTATGTGTTCTCTCAAGAGCCACAAGCCCCATGCGAAGATTGGAATTGTAGGGAGTGAATCACTTACCTTTTTGTGCAAAGTTTTATGCTTCTTCCAATTGTTTTTCGAGCTTATGTGTTCGTCGATTCGAGTGCTGCTTGGCTGTTGTTGCTGCAGTTATTTATTATTTATATTTTTAGTTCGTATAAAGATATTTATCTACTTCATAGATACGCTCTTTCTGTTGGTTCGTCTATCGTTTAATTATGCTGGGCAGGCACGCGCTCAAAGTCCAGCCGCAAAGCCATAAGCCATAAGTAATAATTCCGTAAATAGTCCCGGAGATATTCCAAATATGAATCCAAGTTCTTTTCTAGCTATGGAATCTCTCGCACAAAACACAAACAAAGATACAGATGCACGATCGTGGGTGAGGGTGAATTGTAATTGTTTGTATCTCTCTTGTTTGCTTGTGTGTGTGTGTGTTTGAGGGTGGAGCAGCTGTTCTAAGAGAGAGAGGAGTTGTATGCAAGATATGAGTCAATGCAGAAGAGCGGGCGGTGTTCCGGCTTCTTTATTGAGTATACGCACCGTGCGGGCATCTATGGCTGCGTTTTTTTTTGTGTTTGTTGCTTTGTGCTGCCCGTTCTCTCTCTCTCTCTAGCTCTCTTGTTGGTTCTGTGCTGTAATTGCGTTTTCCTCTTTTGCTTGTTTGGTTTTTGTTCGCGTTATTTTCGTTCGTTTCTCTTTATATGTAGATCGCAGATCGCTCGCTTTATATATTGTAGTTCTTATTCTTCGGCTTACTCACAACTAGACACTACACACACACACACACACACACACACACATGGAGCGAGGGAGGAATTATTAATTATTTGTGTACATTTATTATGATTTTGAGTCATAAGAATTCATAGGATGACAACATCCAAAAGCTACTTTAAAGAGATTCTTTTTAATGTTTTTATTATTTATTGTCTGGCTCTCTCCACGCGCTACCTTTCTTCCTCTATTGCCGAAAATCGCTCACATGTGCCACTGCCATCGTCGCATCTATATTTATACTATATGACCGGACGGATGGATGATTTGTGTATGTATTTCCACGGACAAACAGACAGACATGGGTATATGCATGCATTTTGGCGTTTCTTCCGTTTCCGCCAGAGCCAAAAACTCAGAACTGGGTGTGACGCGAAACACTGGGGAATCTATTTCATTATTATTATTATTGGCCTGATATTTATTTAGTATTTTGTGTGCAATATGATTTCCGTCGTTCACAAACAGTTTCCTTCTTTTTTTTTGTCTATTTTTAAATAGATTTCGGCTTGCTTGAGGAGCGGCAAAAGCCGAAAAAAAGCAATGAACGGGCCTGGGGAATGGGGACGAGGGAAAACTTATGTACTCGGCATGAATCACATCACATAATAGCAAACGGATTCCGATTCTGATTTCGGACGATTCGTTAGAGTGGAATAGAGACAGAGACCAAAACCAAACAGTTGGATTGCGGATGGCACTGGCACATACTGTTTTTGTTTAATTATAGAATCTGCTTCAGCTGTGTGCTGCCTGCTCCGTTCCGTTTCGTACCGATCCGCTTCGCGTACTACTGCAATTGTTCGAGTTTTTGGTTTATGTTTTTCGGGGGGTCACATCTGTTCGTTGGTCAGACTCCTCCAAGTAAATATATATCGTCGTACACTATGGATATGGTATGGTTCTATCCACTATCCATCTATCGCTGTGCGTCGTGTCGGGGGTGTGTGTGTGTGTTTTCGCAAGTAGTATGTTTGTATATGTATGTGAGTAACGCGCTTAAACTTAAAAATTAAATCATCGGCGCGAGCGATCAGTTGAAGACTGAAAAATGTTTATGAATCGCCCCGCCGCGCAAAAAAGCCAACCGAAAGCTTCCTCTCTCTCTCTGAAGCAACTGTATAAGGTGGTTCCGTCGGCTGCCTAACCGCTTAATTTAAATTGTTCGTAAATATTAACAAAGCAAGAAAGTTACAATATATTGTAAAAGACAAAAATAATGCATTTTTATTTGCGAGTAGGCAATTATAAAAAAGAAAAATGCAACTCTTTTTCTTGCAACAGTCTACTTTAAACCCCACGCCATCAAAGGGTTAATCAGCACACTCTATTTTCGTTTCACCCACACTTACCACGCAGAACCCTTTCACTCGCACTAATTGACAGCATGTTTAGTGGTGCCGTTTTGCCGACGGGACCACCCTATATAATTGCATCATGGCTGAAAGCTCCTCTCTCTCTCTTTCTCTCGATGGGGCGAAGCGCAAACAAAGCAGAGAGAGAGAGAGAGCGTCTCATCGAACAAATAGCCACCCGTTTGTGGGTATGTTTAGTTTTCAATGCACAATAGATCTTTATACTTATAACAAATCATTAAAACTTAGTAAAGAAATGAAAATCAATGCTAAATGAATGCAATCCGAAGAGGTCTTCGAATCGATGGAAAACATTTGTACGCCTTAGCTTACATATCGTATCATGGAATTATTTTTTAATGGTTAGACAGTTGCATTCTTTTCTGGGGAGTTACTTATTTACTCGTACAATTATCCATGCAGATGAAATTACAATTCAATGCTAATTATTGGTTGCTTAAAACTATGAAAAATTATGTTTTATGGATTGAAGATTGGGCGCGGAGATAGATAACTACTTCGTGGGCGTGGCAAGGGAGTTGTTAAGCGAGTTGGATAGCTGCTCTTCCTGGTCCTTGTCGAGGCCCAGGGCCATGGTTAGTAGCTTGACCACGCATCGCTGCTCGTGAACCTCGCCCTCGCCCTTTTCGGTGGAGGTGATCTCCCTCTCCAGCTTTAGCTTCTCTTCGGCTGCCAGCAGAATGCCCTCCTCGATGGTGCTCTCCGCCACCAGGCGGTAGATAGTAACTGGCCGCTGCTGGCCCATGCGATGACACCGATCCTCGGCCTGCTTGTCGTTGTACGGATTAAAGTCAATGTCGTGAATGATGCAGGTGTCGGCAGCCGTCAGGTTGATGCCCACGCCGCCCGCCTTTGTGGACAGCAGAAACACAAAGATGTTGTCATCCACATTAAAGTCCGTGATGAGATCCTGTCGCTCCTTCACGGCGGTGGCTCCATCCAGGCGGCAGAATCCATGCTTTCGTATCCGCATATACTCCTCCACAACGTCCAGCATCATTGTAAACTGACTGAAGAGCAGCACCCTGTGGCCCTCCTCCTTCAGCTTCGGCAGCAACGAGTCCAGGTACTCGAATTTTCCCGAATCGCATATCAATTCATCCGGAATTCTTACATCGTTCATTTCCTTTACCAAGCAAGAGAGATTCATTAATTTTTGAATGTTTAAATTGTCTCCTTTGGGCACTCACATGCTTGTTGCATAGCTGATAGACCTGAAAGTCCGAGAGAATAGCCAGCTCCTCGAATATGTACTGCTCGTTGGTCTTTTTGTAGGTTGTGGCGCGTGCCAGTCGCTTGGCAAAGCCGCGCAAATCCTCATCGGTAAAGTAGTGGCGCATTAGCAGCGGATGGTTGGCACAGCGACGCATCTCCATCATAATGGCAACGCCAGCACGATCGCCGCTGCTGCATACGACGCCTTTGTTATTGGAATAATAGTCTACTAGCTCGTGGTAGTACTCCCTCTGTTGACTGCTCATTGGTACTTTTTCCTATTAACATATTGAAATGATAATTTTGGTATGTAAGATTCCTAACCCTTCCGCTTACCACAATGCTTTGCTTCTTGGGCAGGTTGTTGAGGACATCCTTTTTGAGGCGCCTGAGCACAAAGGGCTTCATGATGCGCTTGGCTCGCTGTATTTGTGTTTCCTGGAACTGGGACACCTCCTCCTGGTCGCCATCGGTCTTGCCCTTCTGCAAAAAGTAAAGCAAAAACCTCTTTAGCTGCCCATAAAAGTCGGTTTCAGTGGGGACTTGCCTTGACAAACAACGATTTGATGTCCTCGATACTCTTAGCAAAGAATTTTGGCATCACAAAGCACAACAGGGAGATCAGCTCCAGCAGATTGTTTTGCAGTGGTGTGCCCGTGAGCAGGATGCGCATTCTGGCATTGATGGTTATGAGATTGGCATACCGCTGTGTGGTCATGTTCTTCAGCATGTGCGCTTCATCGAAGATGACATAGTCCAGCTTGCACACACGGAACATTTTCCTCTCCTCGGGCGTGGATCCAACGATATGATAGCTGTTAATTAATGCCAGCAATTAGTGTGATGAAAGACTCAAGCGACTCGATTGCTACTCACGTTGTCAGCAGGACATCGAAGCCAGTGAAACCATCTTTGGCATACCGTCCACGCATCCTTCTCCGCTCGTCCTGCGATCCATGATACTTCTCCACCACCAGGCTGGGACACCAACGCGCGATCTCAGCCTCCCAGTTGTCGAGCGTGGACGAGGGCACCACAATCAGGTGGGCCGCCTTGCTGAGGCCGTTCTCCTTTAGATACGCCAGAAAGGCAATCACCTGTATGGTCTTGCCCAGACCCATTTCATCAGCCAGGATGCCGTTCATCTCCTGTTTGTGCATCACGGTGAGCCAATTGAGGCCTATTATCTGATAGTCGGCCAATTGCATTCTGAAATTGATATTATTTTAGATTTAAGCATTTTTTAACGATTATCCTCGACTTGGCTTACCCGCTGCTCAGCATCTTTGGCTGGTCTACGATGCCACCTCCATTAGAGATGGCCTTCTCCAAGCGCGTTACCATATTGTTGCATTTGTTTAAGATTGTGGCCACCGTGTTTTGTTTGTTGATCAGATCCTGTGCATAGTTGAGCAGATCGCCCGACATGCGGATGCTCTCAAGTTTCTTTCGTAGCCCCGCCCAGTCACTGAATGGCCTCTGCTCAATTATCAAAGTTGCCTTTTTCTCGGAGAGCGTCTTCACCGACTGCAGCTCTATGATGGTAGCCTCGTTCATGAACTGGAACACTTTCTTGCGCTGGCCAGTCATCTTGGTGGCCATCTCGGTGTCGCTGTCATCACTGTCGTAGACCTGATCCTTAGACTGCTTGACATCTTCATCGTCCGAGCATTCACCGTCCGAGCATGTGGGTGCCCTGCTGGAACGTGAGCTGGGTTGCAGCTTGGGCCTGCCCAAGGGACCATTTTGACCTTTCGGCTTGCAATTCTCTCTGAGATAGCGTATGGAGGCTGCCACATCCCAGTTTGAGCGCGAAAGAGATTCTTGAACAGCCTGAAATAACGGGGAATGCAATTCTTATACCAGACTCAAAATCGATTTTCGCAGTAATGGTTATCGATATCAGTAATCCCCCTTTTGTGACGCCTCTGTGCGTGCCAGCTGTTTTGGTACGCCGGCCCTGAACATCACATCGCCATGTTCCGCGCACACATATGTATGGGACGCGTGCTTCCCGCTTCCCCGCGACAGAGTTTCTACCTGTTCTGAATGAATGAACGTACCATTGTATCATACTGCGGCGATATTTTCGCAGCTGCCATGTAGCGTTCCTCCTTTTCTTTCACCGTCAGCTCCAGCTTGGTCTTCTTTGTCACTTGGCTGTCGGCCCCGTCGCTGTCACTGTCTGCCATTACCTGGATGCGTTTCTTGCCAGGAACTCTCTCTGGGAAGGGTTGTCACAATTAGAAACACCTTCGCATGAAATGTCAATACCTCAGTTACCAGTTTTTGCCTGGCCTGCGGAGACGGCTGAATTTTTATTGATGCGAAACTGTCGCAAATCACTCAGGCTCGATTTGGTAGATGAGCTGTCTGACATCTTTGGGCAAGGCTGGAGCGAACTGACAGCTTGTTTACTTTTTAGTCACAATTATGCGTTTCTAAATACGCGATTAACATATATGCGAAAATAATTTTCCTACACCTTTGGCTTTTCTTTGCGTTTACACGGAAAACGATAGTCACGCCGATAGTACAGGCCGATAGTACTCCTCCATCGATACAAATAGTGTGCCGTGCAACCCTGTAGGGGCAATCGAAAGTGTGTGACGCGCTTGCAACCCTTGCATTTTTTTCGCTTGCTTGTAGGTTAATTGAAAGTATTTTTCTTGCAAATAAGTCGTTTATTGAGCTGAGAGTGCACCAGCAAACTGGCGACAATGGCGGGCGGCAACACTCCGCGTGTTATACAGGTGACCAACATTGCGCCGCAGGCCACCAAGGACCAGATGCAAACGCTGTTCGGCAACATCGGCAAAATTGAGGAGATCCGGCTCTATCCCACCATCCGGGATGTCTCGTGCCCTGTGCAGTCGCGCATCTGCTATGTGAAGTACACGGAGACGACCAGTGTGCCTGTGGCCCAGCATCTCACCAACACGGTGTTCATTGATCGCGCCCTGATTGTTATCCCCGTGCTGGCCATTCCCGAGGAGTACCGCGCTCTGGAGATGCTCAAGAACGGCACCATAGTGCCGGGTCTGCAGAAGCCCGACTCGAAACTGCCGCCCGAAGTGATCAACCGCATCGAGGGCCAGCTGCCGCAACAGGTCATCAAGACCTATGACCCCAAGCTGGTGGAGTTCAATCTGCCAGAGTATCCGGCCCTGCCCTCGTTCTACGATGCTCGCAAGATCGAGGAGATTCGTCGAACCATTATTGTTTGCGACGTAAAGAACGAGTGGCGCTTGGACGACCTAATGGAGTGCTTCCAGCGTGCCGGAGAAGTGAAATATGCACGCTGGGCAGAGAAGGAAAACAAGACCTATTGCATGATCGAATTCTGTGAGCAGACGAGCATCATTCACGCCCTACGCATGCAGGGGCAGGAGTTCAAGGGCGGCTACCTGAGTGTCTATCATGCGACTTACTGCATCACCAAGCCGGAGGCCAAGTCCAACGAGGCAGCACAGGCGGAGATCGAGGAGGCCATGACCATTGTGAAGGAAGCGCAGAGCATGATATCGGCCGCTATTGATCCAGTAATTGGCATGCTGGCCAAGGACAAGCGTCGCCGTTCACGCTCCCGTTCTCGCTCTCGGGATCGCCGCACCAGCCGCTCTCGCTCTCATCGCTCCACGTCCCGTAGACGCTCACGTCGCTCGGGGTCCAGGGAGCGACGCAGTGGTTCGCGCTCCAGGCGCTCTCGCTCCAGGGGAAAGCATTCGTCCCGTTCCCGAAGCAAGCGCTCCAGATCCCGTCACCGTCGCAGCACCTCCCGTTCGCGTAGATCACGCTCCCGTGGGGGCAAACCATCACGAACGCGCGGCAAGCGCTCTAGATCCCGTCATCGTCGCAGCACTTCACGTTCTCGGCGCTCCCGCTCGCACGGCGCCAGCGGCAGCACCAGCAGCAAACGCTCGCGTTCCCGTGAGCGCAGCAAGAAGTCGCACCGCGAGAAGCGCTCTTCCCGTTCGCCCAGGTCTCGCAGCAAACGCAGCTCGCCCTCGCCACCACCGGTGATCGCCCTAAGCAGCAAGAGCCGTACAAGCCGCAGCAAAGATGTGTCCACGGTTGTCGTCAAGACAGCCTCTTCGGTCGTCCGTCGTCGCGAACGTTCACGCACACCCGAGGCGCCAGTGCGCAAACTGAAGGTCATCTCTGAGGATATAGAGTTGAAGAGTTCGCGCTCCAGCGCCGATTCCAAGTCGCGCAAATCGGTGAGCGTTGAGAAGTCGGACAACATGGATATATCCAACTCCCCCTAGAGCATAGATCTATATGGACCGCACAACAATGCATAATAAATTACACATTTAAGTAATCCCCCAAAATAATACGATGTCACGGATGAAATTACCTCCTTTCCACTTTCTTTCTGATTTCCCATCAAGTATAAAGTAAAATATAGAGCTGCGGCTTTACGTATTTGTATCCCTCACTCGAGAGCAGTCATTGAAAATACATAACTTAGCTTCTAAGAACAATTATTTGTTTCATTTAAAGTAAATTTCTTGCAGTGCATTGGACAGCTGAGGAGGAATGACTTGTTTGTCGGCTGCAGCAAAGCTCTCGCGCTATAAAGCTCTGCAAGCTTTTTCCCCCTACTAAAATGCCAGTGACAAAGCGTCGGAATCAGACAGAAGTCGAAAGTAGTCCACTCGAACGGTTGTTTTCAGTCTACATTTGATAAAGAATTAAAAGTGAAATTATCACAAAATGTCTGCAGCAACAAAAGGTATATATTGAGCAAACCCCTATCCATGGATAGTGGATAGTTCCTGGGCAATGGATGTGACTTACGCGAGAGGCTGTTCCGAGTCTTTGACGAGAATGAACTTTGGACTTGTTTTTTTTCCCTATCTGATGCTATCCCCCGCACAGTGCCGGGTTGCACTTTGGACCTGTTGAATGAAAAACAACATTCTGATTTAGTTCCCACAATTTGAATATTTATTCTTGCTTACACGAATAACATAATATATGATATAAACAGGAATTTATATTGTGGCTGCCAAGCGCACGGCTTTTGGCACCTTCGGTGGCGCCCTGAAGGGCATTAACCAGACACAACTGCAGACAGTGGCTGCCAAAGCTGCTCTGGAGGCGGCTGGTCTGAAGGGAGAGCATGTGGACACCGTTATTGTCGGCAATGTGATTTCGGTGAGTGGAAACGAAACCCCCCCTCGGTTCCCTTGAGAATCCATTTGATCTCGGGCATTTTCTATGTTGCAGTCTTCCTCCACGGACGGCATTTATGTGCCCCGTCACGTAGGTCTTAACTGCGGTGTGCCCATTGAAAAGCCTGCCCTGGGCATCAATCGCTTGTGCGGTTCTGGCTTCCAGTCGATCATAAACGGAGCACAGGACATTCTGGTGGGCGGTGCCAAGGTGGCGCTCACCGGTGGCGTGGAGAACATGTCCCAGAGTCCGTTCATTGCCCGCAACATTCGATTTGGCACCACCCTGGGGGCCAACTACAATCTGGAGGATGCCCTATGGGCAGGACTGACCGATTCCCGCTGCAAACTGCCAATGGCCCTCACAGCCGAGAACCTGGCCGATCAGTACAAGATCAGCAGGGAGCGTGTGGATGAGTTTGCATTGCTGTCGCAGAAGAACTGGGAAAAGGGTCAGAAGGAGGGCGCCTTCGATGCTGAGATCACTCCCATCAAGTTAAAGGTCAAGGGAAAGGAGGTGGACTTTGTCATCGATGAGCATCCTCGTCCCAAGACCACCATTGAAGGCCTCAACAAGCTGCCCTCGCTCTTCAAGAAGAACGGAGTTGTTACAGCCGGCACAGCGTCTGGCATCTGTGACGGAGCGGCCGCCGTGATTGTGGCTTCCGAGGAGGCTCTTAAAGAGTACAACCTCAAGCCCCTGGCCCGCTTGGTCGCCTTCTCCTTTGTTGGAGTCAACCCTGAGATTATGGGCATTGGCCCAGTTCCTGCCATCCAGAACGTACTCAAGGTTGCCGGCAAGAAGCTGGAGGACATTGATCTCATTGAGGTGAGATTAGGTTCCGCTTAAATGGTTAAAGACCCTGTTGACCGTTTCCTTGTTTTCCACCCGTGCAGATCAACGAAGCCTTTGCTGCCCAAACTCTTGCCTGTGCCGATGCTCTGAAGCTGGATCCCTCCAAGCTGAATGTGAATGGCGGTGCCATTGCCTTGGGACATCCTCTGGGTGCCAGTGGCTCTCGCATCACCGGCCACCTGGTCCATGAGCTGCAGTAAGTTTTCATTCGTTGAACACAGGTTCAAGTAGACATTTAATCATCGTTTCCTCTCTCGCAGGCGTAAGGGACTCAAGTATGGTATTGGCTCGGCCTGCATTGGCGGTGGCCAGGGCATTGCCTTGCTGCTTGAGGCTGTTTAGAGCTGGACAGAGCTCATTTTCGCATTTACAATTAAATTAGTACTGAAAATTCCCCTCAAAGAAAAACTAGTAATAAAGAATGAAATTATTTTATCTTTACAATTTATTAAATCTTTTGCGAATGGAAGTTGATCAGCTTTCTACAAGAAAGACAACAATTGCATCTTCGTGCTATAAAAATTTCAATGTTCATTGCTGGAAATGATTTACGGACGACTGATGGGTGGATATGTCTCAGCCGCTGTTTAGGGTATTGATTCCCAATCTCTTAGAAGGCCTAACATTAAGTGTAGATGACGAAATTTGTTCAGTTCGTTTGGGCACTGGTGGAGAAGAGCGCCAGGGCTCCGCTGGCGAGGCCAACGGAGAAAATGTAGTTCACAAATGGCGTCGAGTTCTTTAGCAGAAAGAAGCTGATGAAGATGATCACAGCCAGGTAGATGGAATTATTGTAGAAAATTGAAAAGGTGGTTGCCTCGTAGTCGGCGACCTCGTTCTTCTTCCAGAGAATGCGCTCGTCCTTTTCCTTTCGCGTGACCTTCTTGTCGTCGCCCAGTTGGCGGTTCACCTCCCGGGTAACAGCATCCTCGCGACGTCCAGCGATCTTGTGCTTCAGCTGGAACTTGATGTTCTTGTAGGCAGTAGCCATCAGATAGGTGCTAGCGGCGGTCACCAACACGAACAGAATGGAGCTGGGCCACAGGTCCATGTTGTGTATGCGCCAGAAGAGCCCTGCAAAGCAAAACTTTCATTCATAAAGAGCGGCCAAAAAATCAACAACGTGTCACTTTACTCACAGATGGGCACCGCGGACACGATAAAGGCATTGCCGTAGAAGAGGGCCGAGGACTTTGTGCTCACATTGCGGCTGAAATCCTGAAGCAGAAGCTCCTCCTCCTTGGTGAAGCCGGAAGACTGCACTTTTTGTTGCTTGCCAGAGCCCATTTTTCAGTAATTTAAGTCAAACAAAAGCAATAGCTCAGTGAAAGTTGATACAACGCACGCAAAAGTCTATGACGAAGTGTACACGAATGCAAGAGTCGAGAGTTGTCGGCTTCTTGCCGATGTGACGTGTAAACGTCAAACGCAGGGTTGCACTGGGACTGGGTCTAATTGACAGCCCTGGTAGTCGATAGTTGTGGATATCAGCAACACACATTTACCGATAGGAGAGCAACAGGTTCTGCAGCTGAGCGGAATTTGATTTTATTTTAATTTAGTTTGAAATTAAAGGTGCGCTATAGAATAAAGGGTACCTGCTTAAAGTTTCGGTTGTTTTTGGAAACAGTCGAATTGTTGGTTCGAAAGCATCTAAGCTAAATTATCACAGCAAACCCGAACCTGTCCAAAGGTCATTTCAAGTTGTTTACATGTTTCGTGCCTTTTAGGTCTCTGGTCCGTAATGCTCCGAACAAAAGTCTTTAATCAGTTGGCCCGTAATGGTGCCAGCCGGCTCATGTCCACCGCCACCAAGCTGACCACAGTGGAAGTGAATGACAAAACAGGAATCGCCACCCTCACCATGTGCAGGCCTCCAGTGAATGGACTCAATTTGGAGCTGCTGAAGGATCTGAAAACCTCCATTGACGAAATTGAGAGCAACAAAAGCCGCGGTCTCATACTGACATCCGTAAGATAGTGCATTGAATTCTCTGCGAACATATTTAATCAATTGCATAAATCACTATCAGTCCAATGCGACAATATTCTCAGCCGGTCTGGATATCCTGGAAATGTACAAACCCGAAAAGGAGAGGATTCGTGCGTTTTGGACGCAATTGCAGGAGGTTTGGCTTGCCCTCTACGGTAGCAGTGTGCCCACTGCAGCTGCCATTAATGTAAGTTTCAAGATACGGATTCTCACGCCTGCTGTAACGATTTGTTTTCGTAGGGTCACTCCCCCGCCGGTGGCTGCCTTTTGGCCACATCTTGCGAGTACAGAGTCATGCTGCCAAAGTTCACCATTGGCTTGAATGAGACGCAACTGGGCATTGTGGCGCCCAAGTGGTTCATGGCGTCGTTCCTAAGCGTCCTCCCACAACGTCAGGCAGAGCGTGCTCTCAACCAGGGCCGTATGTTCACGACGGAGGAGGCCTTGCAAATCGGCCTCATCGACGAGACTGCCAACAGCAAAGAAGAGGCGGTGGAAAAGTGTGCTGCATTCATTGGTACATTCGCCAAAGTTAATCCTTTGGCTCGGGCACTGACCAAACAGCAGTTCCGCTCAGCCGATTTGCAGCAATTGGAAAACGAGCGTCAGGATGATCTGGAGAAGTTTTTGTTCTTTGTTAACCAGCCAGCCGTGCAGAAGGGTCTGGGCATTTATCTCGAAGGTCTGAAGAAGAAGTCCAAGAAATAATCATTTATTGAGATTATAATTGCCAATTTTTAAATAAAGCCAATTTACTATTTATTTCAATATGCTTGACAGTGCAAGAACAATTTCTGCTATTCGATAACTGATAGTCGATAACGATAAAACAGTCGTTGATCGATAGTGGCACAGCAGGTTCTATTTTAGCTGAATCGATTTTGGTATAATCTACGAAGCTGGAAGGATCAATATTTATATAGGTGAATACTAAATTTATAGATTTTATTTGTTCTATACTGCTTTTATAATCATACCGATTTTTTTTTGCAGCTCCAGGGCAAAAATCTCCATTAAACCGGCACCAGAACAAAGGTCACCTTTTGCATACTTTGGTGATAATGTTCTCTCCCAGAGTCGTAAGCCTTGTGCCTCGCACAGGCCCCAGACGTTTCATGTCCACCGCCAGTAAGCTGACCACAGTGGAGGTGAATGACAAAACCGGCATTGCCACGCTAACAATGTGCCGTCCTCCCGTAAATGGACAAAATTTGGAACTGCTATTGGATATTAAATCCTCCATCAAAGAAATAGAGAACGACAGCAGCCGAGGTCTCATAATCACATCCGTAAGACCATTTTTAAATTGAATACGTTTCAGCATAATTATGGCATTCACTTCTTAGGCTAGTCCGAAGGTATTCTGTGCTGGCCTAGACATCCTTGAAATGCATAAGCCGGACCAGCAAAGGCTACGGGCCGTTTGGACAGAACTGCAAAATGTTTGGTGTGCCCTCTATGGCATTAGTATGCCCACAGCGGCTGCCATCAACGTAAGTCTGTAAATATGTGCCAACAATTTTGTACATGCCAATCTCCAAGGGTCACGCCCCAGCCGGTGGATGTCTTCTGGCCACAGCCTGCGAATATCGTGTTATGGTGCCAGATTGCAGAATTGGACTGAACGAAACCCAGCTGGGGATTATTGCGCCGAAATGGCTGGTTTCGGGCTTCTTGAACATCCTTCCAAAGCGAGTGGCGGAACGGGCTCTCACTCAGAGTCGCCTCTTCACCACGGACGAGGCCTTACAGGAGGGCCTCATTGACGAGATCGCCAACAGCAAAGAGGAGGCTGTGGAAAAGTGTGCCGCCTTCATAGGCACATTCTCCAAAGTGAATCCCGTGGCCCGTGCTCTGACCAAGCTACAGTTCCGGGCGGAGAATTTGCGCCAGTTCCATAAGGAACGCGAACAGGATGTCGAGAACTTCCTATCCCTAGTCAACCGGCCAGAGGTGCAGAAGGGTATAGGCGCTTATCTCGAAGGTCTGAAGAAGAAGAAGGCCAACAAACAATAATCATTGTGTTAAATATTTACAAACTAATATCAATGCAAACAGTTAAATTATTTTCTAAATTCGTTCCATTCGATAGGCAGTTTTCACAACGATAATCGATTGTAGATCAGCTGATCGCTGCGGCTTCATTTTGTCAGTTTGCTTTGGTTCGCGTCCCGACTGCAAAGCAAATGAAAAAAACAAGTTAATTTGTTTAATTGTATGCCTGCCGCTGAGTGCGTGATTGCTCTTCAAGTTCCAAAGTCGTAGAAATGTTGCGCAACAGGCTGTTGGCCTGTCTCCGACAAATCAAACCCATCAATTGCAGCCCATTTTTGCGATCGCTCTCAAATGCAGCAAACTCGGGTCTCACTCAGGTCGAAGTGGACGACAAGAGTGGGATTGCCACATTATCGATGAATCTGCCGCCAGTGAACACTCTCACATTGGAGTTGATGCACGACTTGATCGATTCAATTAACCAGATCGAGTGCAACAAGAGCCGTGGGCTCATTCTGACGTCGGTGAGTCTGGCCAGTTGACAAAGGTTTTCTTGACACGATCTTCCATTATTTTGCAGAGCAATGACAAGGTTTTCTCTGCCGGACTTGACCTCAAAGAGCTGTACAAGCCCGATCAGGAGAGGCTGAAGGAGTTCTGGACAATCTTCCAAGACCTGTGGCTGGCCCTGCATCTCTGCGGCATTCCAACAGCAGCGGCCATCAACGTAAGCCCAAAGTGTGCATCGAAGAAACACCCAATAATCATTGTACTTTAGGGTCATGCGCCTGCCGCTGGCTGCATTATGGCCACGGCCTGTGAGTACCGGGTCATGCTGCCAGATTTCTTTATCGGAGTGCATGCCACGCGATTTAGTTTCCTCGTCTCCAAGTGGATGATGCTCTCCTATCAGAGTGTGCTTCCACGCCGGATTGTCGAGCGGGCGCTGAACCAAGGTAAGCTATTCAGCACTCAGGAGGCCCTTGAGGTGGGCCTCATCGACGAGGTGGCCTGCAGCAAAGAGGAGGCCCTGGCGCAATGTTCCGCCTTCATTGGCACCTTTGACAAGGCCAATCCGATTGCCAGAACACTGACCAAGCAAATGTGTCGCGACTCGGATGTTCGCGAGTTGCTCAGCGATCGTGCCGGGGACCTGCGTGCCTGTGTGGACTACATCAATACTCCCCTGTTCCAGGAGGGACTGAGCGCCCACCTCCAAGGCCTCAAGGAGAAAAAATAATTGGTCAACGCATCGAACTGGTGCTGTCCAAAGTGTGCTGCATTTATTATAGAAATTTGTATATTAAATTGTTACTCCCAAAAACTTATTCCTGGTTCAACTCCTGTGGAAGATTGGCCAGAGCCTCTGACATCATTTCCATGAACCAATTTATTTCCAATATTTTGGCACGATGTCGGTCGACTTCCTTGCTGTAAAGAGAAGAGTGTCTATTGTGCCTTTTGTGGTCTTTGAATTCGGTCTCCACTCACCTGTTCAGCTGCTGAATCATGTTGTCAATGAACTCCCTGCTGCGCAGGGCCATGCGATCCTCGCGTTCATCAATGCGCAAGTTGTGAGTTGTTCGCATGCCCTCGACCAGTTTGAGGACAGCCTCGCGATCGTCCACACACATTGTCAACTCCTTGGGCACAGCACCAAGTTCGCGACGAGCCTGTTTGGTGGCCAGGAATTGCGTCACCATCTCCGTCATGTTGTCTGCAAAATGGCCGCTGACATCGTGTAGCTGCAGGAAGAACACCTGAGCTTGCTCCACAAAGCCGGCCATCAGTTGGGAGATTTTGTGATGGAAGTTCCGCGTGGATTCCTCAACAGCCTCATGCAAATGTAATTCCTGGGACATCAAGCTCTGCCACATCTCGTTGAGGGCATCATCAAATTGTCGATTGAGTGTGTCCACCTGTGCGTACGCTTCTGATCCGTCCTCGCTCTCCTCCAGCTCACGCAGCATCGCGCGCAGTTCCTCGAATGTTCGCTCCTTGTATTGCATAAACTCTTCGATCTGCGACTGGCCCAGTGACTGCAGCTCTTGCTGCCCTTCTTCCATGTTTGAGTTAAAATCTTGGATCTCCTTATCGCGTTCTCCAAAGCGCTCTAGGCCCAGCCTGTAGATTTTCTGGGTCAATTGGTGAACGTCTTTGGCATACTCCTCTGTGAGCTCTTGCGCCGGAGCCCCTATCAGCACTAGGAGTCGCCCGTTCTCGTCGTCTCGCCACAGGGAATCGTACAGCTGATGTCCATCTAGATGCTCCACAAAGCTGGAGGATAGTCGCTCTGCCTCGGCTGCCTCCCTTGCAGCCGTTTGAAGAGCCTGAATCTCACGCTCTTGCTTGTCCTCGATCTCACGTAGCTCGCGACTGTTGGGAAAGAGACTTGGATGTCATCTGGGTGAGGGAATTAATGGAGCGAACTCACTAGAAACGCTTCCGTGCCGCATCCCGTGTATCCGCTTTGATGAACACATATTCGTAGTAATTCAATTGGGGAAGAATGGCCGTCACATAGAGAGATAAAGGGAAATCTGGTTGCTGTGCAATGGGATTACCTTCCAGATTAAGTACTTTTAGGCTGTTTACAAAGCGCAGTCGTTCGATCTAGAGAGAAACAGAAGCAAGTAATTTAAAGATGTAATTTCTCAGGGAGAGCCTCACCCCATCAACCGTGTCGATCAGATTATTGCCAATGCTGAGAATGACCAGCTTTTCGAGGTTCTCCAGGTTCTCAATTTTCGTGATGCGATTGCTGAACAACGAGAGGGTTTCCAGATTGACCAGCGTCTCCAGGTTCTCGATTTTCGTGATGTAATTGAAGCTGAGATTCAGCTCCTTGAGCGCTGTGAGCATTCCAATGTGCTCGATGACCTCGATTTTGTTGCAGTTGAGGCACAGCTTGGTGAGATTGGGTAACATCCAGAGGTGGTCGATGCGCAAAAGATCTTCAAAGAAGAAATCCTTCAGATTAGACAGTGTCAAAGCACTTTTCAGTGGCTGCTTACTCTTAAACTCCAGTCTCATGGTTTGTATGCGTTCGTAGACCACAGGCTCCAGCTGATGCAGGCGACTCGACTCGCCCTTTTGTCCCTGCCCTAGGTATGCTGTCTCGATCATCTGGCGATCAATGATGCCCGGCTCTGGGCAGTTGATCTCCTCAAGGAAGCCCCTCGCCGGCTCCACACTCTCATCCCCTGAACCCTGGCTGACCTGTTCGTCCATTTTGATTGACTCCCGCTCAACATTTGCCAAGCAGAGTCCATTCCATATCAAGGCTATGGTTGCCTGGGGCAACCAAAAACAACAGAGCCCTGCCTAGTAACCACTTGGGTCGTGGTCTCAGGTGCGTGTTCCACCCCTTCGATGACTCGCTGGAACAGGTGCAAAGGGGTTTTTCTTTCTTTTCGCTCCGGTGAGGCCGGCTCCGTGTGCCGATTGATTTCACTCGTAGACCTTCGTGCGTTCGGCTCTCGCTGGGGGGTGCAGCGGAGCCAAGGGATGGTCTAGTTAGGGTTGCGGTTGTTTAGCTTTTCGGGTTGTTGTGGATATCGGCTCTGGCAGTTGTTAATATTTGCTTCTAAAATAAACTCCTGTTCGCGAGCGAAACTTACCATAGGGAGAAACTCAATAAATCTCCACTTAATCGTTTGAATCGAATCATCCAGGCAGAGATCAAGTGGAGATCATCGGATTTAAACGCGATTGTGACTCGAGGTACGACTAAGGATTGCAGAATAGTTAAGCAAAGCCCTTCCTTTCAGTGCATTGGATAACAGGCAGAACCCCCATTGACCGAACGTCGAATCGATAAAGTGACCCCGGGAACCTTTTGTTTATATGTTTGCACACAGTGCGAAAAGTGTCGCATATCACATATAGTACTACTCAAAGTACTACCCAACCCCTCCGAGATGTGCGTGTTCCATGTGCAAATCTAATAAATTAGTTAAATGTGAATGGGTTCAAGGTCTCGGTGCGGGCAGCCATGCTAGATCACGTCCATACTCTCCTCCATTCGCCATGGCACCAGCTACTCCAACAATGAGGACCGCAACAATGCTCAGCTTCATCCTTAGACTGCAAATGGGTTTAGTTTTCCACGATGTGGATATTTTATAGGATTCTCGGCATATAATTGAATTGGCAATGCCTTCATTTGAATGTTAACTAATTATGTGGGGTGCTTGCATAAGCCTTTTTTTTTGGACTTTGGAACAGTATAGTCGGAAGACTCCTTCTACCGAACTTTAAGCCAAATTAATTATGCACAAGTGTAAATACTTACATATGTACATGTGTAGGGGCTAGCTTTTTATATGTATGTGTCTGTGAAGTAAATAAAAACTAGTGGAAATGAGTGTGAGACGATTTGTACACGTCACAACCTTTATACCCGGTACTTAGTCAGTATATAGTATGTACATTCATACATATGTATGAAACCTACATCTGTATATATGTATTTATCCTCATGATTTTTTGGAATTTTACATTTTTTCTACATCTGTCATCTACATCAATTCTCACACCGCGCCCTTTTTTCTCGCCCACCTCCCACAGAGCAGCACCCTGTACAAGGCAGAGTGTGCGAGCGAGATAGTATGAGAAAACAAAATAAACAAAGCTGCTGGAAGGGGTATGTACTGGACATGCATTTCGGCATTTTGCCTATAATAATGATCCAATCTGATCCTAATTCGGGTATTTGATGGAACTGCGTTTTTTCTATTCTCTTGACCTTTTTTGGGGGCGAAAGGGGCCTGCCGATTTTAATCCCGGTACTCTAAGAGTAAATAGGGTATATTGTATTTGTGCACAAAGTAAATGTATGTAACACACCGAAGGAAACGTTTCCGACCCCATAAAGTATATATATTCTTGATCAGCATCAATAGCCGAGTCGACAGAGCCATGTCTGTCTATTCGTCCGTCTGTACGTCTGTCCGTCCGTCTTGTTGAGCGCCTGGATCTCAGAAACCCTAAAAGCTAGAGCCAAATTTTGCACCCAGACATCTGTATGCTCACACTGTATTTCAAGTGTTTCAATTTCTTTACAAGTGTATTTCAAAAATGAAAAGGTCCCCGCAAAACGACGAAAACCTCCCAAAAACTACAATTTTGAAGATAAAAGAAAACTTAACTAGGAAATTACCATATCTATCAGATCACCAATTGGGATCCGATTGGATCATTATTATGGCCACAATGAAGAAATGAATTTGCAGTGGCTAAACGCACCCCGTCCCGCAGCTTATATTTGTTTTTTGCACATTCTCTCTCTTGCACATTTACACTCTGCTTCGCGCAGACACGTCTCTGCCTCTGCCGCGTCTCTGCCGCGTCTCTGCCCGACTCTGCAGTGTGTGTCTCTAGGGGAGGGTGGCTAAAGGAGCTAAAGGACCGTGTTGGCGTGTGTTGTTGATGTAGATGACAGATGAAGACAACATTTAAAATTTCACATATAACCGCTAAGGTTCAGATGTAGTACTGAGTGCCGGGTATAAAAGTTGTGACGCGTAAGAAGCGTCTCACACGTCCCATATGGCTCAATCGACTCGGCTATTAATGCTGATCAAGAATATATATACTTTATGGGGTCGGAAACGTTTCCTTCTGTGCGTTACATACAACCGTTATTCCCCACAAATACAATATACCCCCTATTTACTCTTCGAGTACCGGGTATAAAAAAGATTTTACTCAAATATGCCTGACTAATAGTATGGAATATTCCCAATCGAATTGGGAATGCACGAATGCTGTGGATTAGCTCTGCTAAGACGGCATTGAGAATTTGATTGGGAATGCGATTAGTGATCATCTATAAATGTCTTCGCAAGATGGGGTCTCGAGTCATTTAATAACTGAAGATGAAGCTGCAGCTCCTCGTACTCCTACTACTAGAGCTCCTCATTATGGCCAACGCCGGTGGACGATACTCCTTTGGGTTGGGAAGAAAATAGATTTACATTTTTCTTATCCACACATTCAGCTCTTGTTTTGAGGGGAGCGAGCACTAATGCCTAATACACAATAAAATCATGAATCCATAAAATAGTTTTATTTTCCATAGAATACAAGCAGAGCTTTCATTTTAATTGTCATATCTAGAGAGGTGTGCTGATGATGATACTTAGATATGGTTTTATCCCTTGACAAATTAACTGCACAATAAGTGTAGAATTTGGACTAAAGTTGCTTGAGAAGTTACTCAAATCGTCCTGAGACTGCTTTTATCCAGCGTCACCTTTTCACACAGCCCTCTTCTCCGTCAATAATTCAATTGGCAACACACTCCAGAAGATGTCAACTAATGGATTCCTGATTATGTCCGGTGTTTGCATAAGACTTCCACGTGGAAAACCCTTTAGCAGTAGCTAAGCTTTATAATTATTAATTTCTTGTTAAATTTACACTGGCTTCAGGCTTCACAATAACGATTGAAATTTGCTAAAGAGTTTCACTAATGCAAACACCGAAAAAAAAATTGGAAATCTAAAGCTGATAAAGGATTTACCAATTCGACGGGTGAAGTTAATATAAATATTCCTTTAAAGACAAATAAGGTTAAAATCCAACTGAAGATTGAATTTTGAATTAAATTTACCCTCTCCACTCATTGAGCTCTTTTTTTGTGAGGAACGCTAATTCAAACAGCAAATATAATCAGGAATCCATGAATTAGTCTCTTATCTTATCATCGTTTGAAAAATGCCAAATATATGCGAATTCTGAAGATGAAGACCAAGCGGAGTCAACTTTAAGTTATCAGGAAGGTTTTGAGAGATAATAATGAGATGTGTTTTATATGTAGATGCTAAACAGAGCAAAACAAATGAACAGTTAATGGCGGTTAGACAGGTTTTAGTTAAAATCTACTTTGCATTTTTAGCAGCTTATATTTTTTATTACAACTATAATTCAGCTGGGAATATGTCCGGACCTTAGATGTCCTTTATTATCTACGACTCTTGATTTGTGTGTCGAACAAGCTGTAATTACAGACCCTACGACCCGCCACTACTTGCCATCCCATCCTCATACGTTTGTTGGTGTATCTGTGACCTTGACAGAGAGTTGGTTTTCGGTTGAAATCAAATGGAATTCGGTCAAGCTTATCGGTTGGGTGCCTCTGGATCAATATATTGATTCCAAATTGAATAGGTGGCATCCGATCCGACACATCGGGCCACACACATGTCCGGCTCATGGCCGATTCGATGTCGATTTGATTCCATATTTAGTGCATGTCATTTAATTAGAACTCTGAGATTGTTTAGAGGTTTTGCCCCAGTTGGGTTAGTGGTGGTGTATAAATAATACAAATCATTTATATTGCTCATTCTTTTCTTTATTTCTTTGTGCACAGGTGCACAGCTAGAAACTATGTGAAGAAGCTGAAGTTTGCTATTTTTTAATAAGCATGAACCGATATATAACGCTGACCCAACTGGGGGACGGCACCTACGGCACCGTTGTGCTGGGCCAGCGCAAGGACACCGGCGAGAAGGTTGCCATCAAGAGAATGAAGCGCAAATACTACTCCTGGGAGGAGGCCATGAATCTGCGTGAAGTTAAGGTGAGTCCAACACAAGTTCCAGCATTTGAGTCTTTCTGCTAATTCAGCCCACAATTTTCAGTCGCTAAAGAAACTGTCGCATCCGAACATTGTTAAGCTCAAGGAGGTGATAAGAGAGAACGACACGCTCTACTTTGTGTTTGAGTACATGAAGGAGAACCTCTACCAAATGATCAAGGATCGGGACACCCACCTGCCCGAGCCGGAGCTAAAGAGCATTCTCTTTCAGGTGAGCTGGCACTAAGATTTGTTTGCCATCTGTAAGCCATCCTCCTGTTTAGGTACTCACTGGCCTGGCCTTCATGCATCGTCATGGCTTCTTCCATCGCGATCTTAAGCCGGAAAATCTTCTCTGTTCCGGTCCGGAGCTGATCAAAATAGCTGACTTTGGCTTGGCGAGGGAGGTCAGGTCGAGGCCGCCGTTCACGGACTATGTGTCGACCCGCTGGTATCGGGCGCCCGAGGTGCTGTTGCACTCCACCAACTATGGCAGCAACATCGACCTGTGGGCCATGGGCTGCATAATGGCAGAGCTGTACACATTCCGACCGCTCTTTCCAGGCAGCAGCGAGGTGGATCAGCTATTCAAGATCTGCTCCGTGCTGGGCACGCCAGAGAAAGTTAGTAAAAAGCGCAGTGAACACGAGAAGAACATTCTAATCAAATTTCTATTGACAGGGTGACTGGCCAGATGGTTACCGACTGGCGTCCATGATTCACTTCCGCTATCCAGATTGTATCAAAGTGCCACTAAGCAGCGTCGTCAGTCGCTGCAGCCAAAACGGACTCGATTTGCTCGAGGACATGCTCGCCTACGATCCCGATAAGCGTCCGACGGCCCAGCAGAGCCTCAAGTATCCGTACTTTCACTCGCTCAAGCGGATCTCACCCACGGCGGCCACCAAGGCGAGTGTTCGCCTCAGTTCCAAGTATGCGGCGGCTTCCTCTGGGACCCAGACTGTGTCAAACCATGTGCTTCCGGTGCAGGAGAAGCTGCAGGCTGTCACCGAGCTCATCCATCAGGGCAACAACATCAACAACAACAACAACAACCTAAGCAATGGCAAGGGTCTGTCGAAGAACGTGAGCATGCCGCGAAAGTATCAGCCAAAGTTGAGCTTCTTAAACAGCCACGAAATGGGCATGCCTGTAAATGGTAGTGGAGCCCTGGCAGACACTTCCAGCTTGGTCGGAGGACCCGCGGTAGATCAAGGGCAGACTCAGCATCAGTCACAGCAACAGAATGGAAGTGAATCCATAAACGACATCTACTTGAATCGAAACATTGCACAGCTTTTTGGTTTGCCAGCAGCAACGGGCTCTCAGCAGCAGCTGTACCATCCGAATGTCTCCTTCAGCAACACCATGGCCCGCAATGCGGGTGCCATTTATGTCAGCGGCAGTCAGCTGAGCTACGACACTGCCAAGAACAATGCCAAGAACAACGGAGGTGGATATTATGTGCCAGTGACACGCAGCTCCCTGCTGGCACCCGATGCCAAGGTCTACAATGTGTTCTCCAAGGTGAGCGCCAGTCAGGCACCGCCCAGCATAATCGTGCGCCAGCCACAGCAGCATCAACAGCATCCCTCCTACGAAGCGTCATCCATTAATGGAGCGGCCATACGTTTGTCCGCGAGATCCCGTCCGAGCGGACAGGAGGCCAAGCTGAGGTCTGACGATCTGGACCAGATACTCGGGTGAGTAGGGATCGACTCTTAGGGGGGGTGTCACTGTACTGTTTGAGCATTCCATCCATTATCCATCTTTTGCTGCACTCTGAGATTCCCTTCGTTCCCTCACCATGTGACTTTGTCTTTGTCTTTCCGTGCAGCTCCAAGCTGAAAACCTCCGCCAAACGCCAGCGAAATGCCAAAACCAACATGCTGCTGGAGGACCTCTTTGGGCAGCTGTCAATGGACTCTGACAGCGATGGCAAGTACCCGCACACTGTGCCACCCACGCAGCAGGCGAAGAGTGGCGCCCATCGAGAGCGCGATCTCTTTGGCGAAAGTTTCCTGCGGCCCGGCATACGGAAGAAGAATACCCAAAGCAGCCTGGAGGTGAACAACGGCAGTCACGCGGACTCGCTGTAAGTACGGAGTAAGGCGGCGGAGGAGAAGCTTCCCTGGCCTGCATGCAACTTGTAGAATTCTCATGCTCTCATAATCATGCGCTATCATCCATGTGCTCCATGTTGTTGTGCTCTCTCTCTATACTCTGTATCTGTCTTTCTCTCTCCTCTCTCTCTCTCTCTCTCTGTCTGTGTTTCTGTGTCATCGTTTTTTGTGTTTTCATTTGCTTGTGTCATTGAACATTTTGTGAGGGTTCCCCAAGTGATAACTCCTCCTCATCCTCCCCCTCAATTGATGAAGAATGTCGCTTTTGGCCCATAAGGTAAAAATCAACATTCGCGCCCAAGTTGTAAATACATTTGAGTAGATGTAGACATAATCTAGAAGAAAGTATTACTGTCACCAAATCATATAACCATCTGTACCCATTATCGTAGCCACAAACTTATTATTTGGAATAAATTACAGACCCTTTGAGTTTCATTTCTTTATGGCACACTAAACGCTAGATAAAATAAGACTTTGATGAGCTCTTTCATGCTGTATTTATTGTTAGATTAAAGATGTTTATCCACACTCTTTCAGAGCAAAAAACACACAGAAGCAGAAGCAAGCAGCAGCTGGGACTGGAGCCGCAGCATTCCCCTGGGATGAGACCAACAAGACGGAGGATGAGAAGCTAACTGCCTGGATGGTGGCCGAGAATGGTAACTTGAATGTGGGGCAACAGCAAGCACTCCAGTAAATCCAAGTAGTCGATTAGCAACTGAAAATTCGTGACAGCACCACATCAGCACCAATCCAAAAATTCACTGGGCAGCCCAGGTATTTATTTTATGCCCATTATCATATTCCCAGGATCGCTGCTGGAGAATAAATTCTGAAGGAGATCATCGACTAGCAAAGTGCCGCGTTGTACCTGAAACAGAATGGAATGAAACTGAAACTGAATCTGAATACAAACCGTCAAAACATCAAATCAAAACATCCAAACGAGCGTTTAGAGTTAAAGTTAATATTGTTGATGCTGTGATACAGAATAAGAGATAAATAAGATATACTTTAATCGATGCTAATATAATCCAGAGTGAATTTTGAACATAAATGGTGCTTATTTAGTGATAGAGTTGACGCTGCAACTGGAACTGCAGCTGGAGCAAGTGCAAGTGGGCTTCAGTTTCATTTCCCTCTTGCGATTTCGCCAAGAGTTTGGTGGCGCTCGTTGCATAAGCCCCAACAATTGCACTTGTTTTGCGGCAGATTCAATTTCATCTGCCATAACTTCGCCACTGCGACAATGGGCCAACGGTTGCTTTGCATATAAAAGCTGGTTGAGACAAGCCCTTAGACAACAGTCGATTGACAGCCACAGCCACAGTTCACAGCCCATATCCAGCTTCAGTTCCAGCATGAGTGCCCTGGTAAGCGATTAACACCATGGAAAGTGTATCCAAAGTGTAAAGCAGCCCTTGAGTAGTCTTCCAGCATTGGCCTTTGCATGTTCCTGTGTGCATTGGCCGCTGTACAGGCTTCCATCATCGCCAGCCACAGCCATCCCGATGAGTTGATCTCTAGTCCGGCTCAGTATGAGTTTCAGTATGCAGTCCATGACAGCCACACTGGGGACATAAAAGATCAGTTCGAGCATCGTCGTGGCGACTATGTGACGGGCCGTTACTCGCTGATTGAGCCCGATGGTCATCGTCGCATTGTGGACTACACCTCCGATCCGCTGCTGGGTTTCAATGCTCAGGTGCGCCGTGAGCCAATTGGGAGCGTCTACCAACGCTACTGAAGCAGACAACACTGAAGAGGAACTATAATATACATATATCAAATGATATAGAATATATCCACAGGCTGTTTGAAAATTGTTTTCTAAAAATGCATTTATTGCCTTCTATTTACACATGATATGTACAATATTACGCTGATGAGATAGCACCATCCTCATACCAATCCACTGCGGTGCTGGTAGCTGAATGGCGAAAAGTCTTAGTGGAAGAATCGTCGAAGAATATAGACAGAAGCATAGGTAATTGCGTAGAAAGTGGCTACGAGTAAGTGTCTGGGTATCAGGTTAGAACGAGCTGCTAGATGCGGATGGGTGGTCGTCGTCGTCGATGCAATGAAATCAGTGTTTGATATCTCTCTCTGTCTCCCCAGTCCAACTGTCTCTCCCGCCTTAGTGGTACAGGCCGAGCGGCAGTTTGGGTGCGGCAAGCAGCTTTGGTGCCCCATAGGCCAGGGGCAGCGGAGACAGAACCTTAGCAATGGGAGCAGCCTTAAGCACCTTGTGGCCCAAAGGATCCCGACGGACGACAGCATTGAAACCATTGTGGGCATCCGAGGTGTAGTCAACAGTACGCAGATATCCATCAGCATCGATCAGCGTGTATTGGCCCTGCACTTGATCACCCTTGCGGGACTCCGTCTGGCTCTTGATGTCGCCAGTGTGCTCGTCGTGCACCGAATAGGCAAAGTCATAGTGGGCAGGCGCCTCAACCTCGACAGCCTTCAGCAGGGGCTTGACAAGTCCCGGGGAGTGGTAGATGGGGCTCAGTGGCAGCTCGATTGCAGCGACAGCGCCCACACCCAGGATGAACAGAGACAAAAGCTGCAGCGAAATATATTGGAAAAGTTAGTTAGTAGAGTCTACGATTCTCCCTGATCCTTTAGAACTTACAGCAAACATTTTGGCTTGGAATTTGTGTTTGGATTTCGTTTGTGCTGGCTTGGTAGTTGACTTCACTTTGGGCTCTTGCACTGAACTATGTCTCCAAGTGTCGCGTTTGCATCTTTTATATGGCTCGCTGAGTCAAAGCTCTCTGGCCGGCCGGCCAGCCCCTACTCCATTCAAAATTCAAGCCCAAGCCCAAGCACACGCACCGCGAACCGCTAACCGGAATCCGTCTAATGCAAAATTTTCTAATTTTTATTAATTTTATTTTTTGCACTGTGCGAGCACATAGTAAAAAAACATTCGCCGTGCTCTGCTCCAGTTTTTGGCAACAATGTAGGCAAGGTCTAAGCTGTTGTCTTTGTGGCAATCGGGATCAATATGAGCCATACAATGGCACCCTTTTCAAGCTACGAAATCATGTGCCAAAGTCAAGCGAAAGTTAACTCTTATCAGTGAAACAATTAATCCGATATGTGCGGATTTAAGTGAATATTCGAGTGTGTTCAAAGATAATATTTCAATGCATATTGTAAGTGTACTTAAGAGAGCAATCCATAAATGTGCGCTTAGCCTCTAGCTCTTCATCCTTCTACCCGTATCTAAATAATCCATACGGATCCATTAATAGGATCAGCAAACTGCTGACAAGTTAGATGACATATTGAATGGCTGAATCGCTGACTGGCATGTGCATACGAGTATCTAACGCCGTCACAACAAACAAATTGCACGTTGACATTCGCAGATCGTTTCGCTTGATAGACAAACCCAAGATATGCCGCTAAAAAGCTTTGCCGATTTTCCACTAAATTAATTAATCAAATTGCGACATCCGCCTGCGGGCCGTGCCCCCCAAGATCTTTCTGGGTCTGATCGCCTTCGCCTTTCACGCTGGCACCGCACACAAATCAATGCGAAAAAAGGTAAGCAAAGTAAAGGCTTCAAAGACCAAACTCGTTGCTAAAATTCGATATGAAGTAATATGCGCTGGTGTGGAGTGTGGGGTCAGGTGAAGTTGAGTGGGGTGGAGCTGACAGGTGGTGGTGCCTGTGCGTATTCGCATCTTGCGCCACATTCATTTAGAACAAGATTACGATTTTATTGCGAGTGGTCGTGGGCCAATTTTTGAAGTCGCCACCGCCTGCTCACGCACTTGGACAGCTCTCGACTTCTCCATGAGCGTGCCTGCTGTCCAGCATCGCCCAACCCATTCAGCAGCAGACATACATATATGTACATGTAAGTAGTCTCTATAAATAATAAGTTGTGTCTACTTAGCGACATGTACACACGAGTAGATCGTGTCCGATATAAGTCAAATGAAGGAGATTGGATTGAATTTGGATTGGGGAGGGAAATTACTAAATGGCACGACTTGGGTGAGGCTGGCTTCGGCGTGTTTGTAGTTGTACAGCAGGATAATTCCTTTTTAAAGTTTTTCTTATGATAGAATATTAGTTAAATCGATTAATCCATTTCCTGTCTGATTTCGGCGTGCGATGGCTATTTTTCGCTATTTGTAGATAGACCTGGGCGTGCCACTTCCTTTTCTAATCAATCGAATTTTATTTTAAAATCATTGCAATACAATTTTACGCATTTCTAAAATTTTTATTATCCATTTCAATTGCGGTTTGTTTTTGTTCTTGTTTGATTTTGGATTTTTTGAAATATCAAAAAGTTGCAAATAGATTTACATATTCACTGATTTGTTTGTTGTTTAGATTTTTCTTAAGTTTTCAAATGTGTTAACAATACGACGCACTACACATAATCATTCGTCCCACATATGAATTGTATATGTTAAAAAATTTAAGGAAATTGCTAGCACATTTCACTATGTAGAGGCTGAATAATAAATATTTTCATAATAATTGGCAATTTCGAAAAAGGTTCAACTTGCACTTTGCTTGTGCATTAAACCATTAATTCGTCATTTAAAAAAAATTTAATTATATTAAACACAATAAAAACAAAAAAGACGGATAAATGGTTTCAAGCACAAGCAAATCGTGCCAGTGAGGTAAACAAAAAAGCAAAAGCAGTTAACAAGAAATGATGCCATGGTTCCCAGCTGACTGACTGACACCGTGTGTCTCTCATTGCCTGAGGGAGAATGACAGCTTGGGCCTGGAATTGTTTTTGCCTAATATGACTTTTTGCTCTTCTTTGACGCGTTTCTCCTGCTCTTTGCGCATTCGCTGGCGTTCCTCGTCCATTAGACGCTGCTCTTCAATTATCGCTAAGCGTTCCTCGGCCTAAAACAACACAGAATATAAATAAGACAACTTTTCCAATGAATTATAATAATAATTGTTTATAGCTTACCAATTTTCTTTGAGCCTCTTCTATTTTACGATTATTTTCGGCCAAAATCTCTTCAAGCTCTTCGCGTTTTTGCTTTTCATCCTCCTATAAAACCCAAACAAAATTTCGTATTAATAAATCATGCCTAATCGTTTAGCCACAGCTTAGAACTATGAAATAGAAACAGTTTCTTGACATCAGAGATGCGATGCAAACTGTGCGAGAATTGGACGCACAGAAGTTTTGTGGTTGCAGGTATTTTTTTTGCTTGATGGGCCTGCAAATGCAGTAAATCTATTTTTATGTTTAACAATAAGTTACAAAGAAAATTTTGGTGAAAGTAAAAAACATTTAGTAGTGTCTAATAAAGAATGTTATAAGTAAGTTTTTCTTTTGTTTTTTTTTTTGATACAATATAATAGCACACAACATTAACAAATGTCTATTATTTCTAAATTGTTGGTCATTTCATTTATTTATTTTTTTGTTTTTGTTTTTTGCTACTTACTATTTAAATGGGTCATTATTCCAGTATAATGGCTAAATTTGTTTGGTAATTTTTGAATATTTTTCATTTTTATTTTTGTTTTCTTTTTTTTTGCTAATTCCATACACGTTTTTGGAAAAATAAAAAGCTTCAAAAACAAATATGAAAATCGCAAACTGGTCATGAGTATGTGGAAGAACGGCAATCCGGCTTAATAAAATATTACAGACAGATACAGGATGTGTTCTATAAAACTAAAACCTTGTCGAGTGAGTCTTAAACTAACTGCAGAGTCTTCTGGCGGTCGATCACAATTGTATATTGTTTTATATCGTTTTGTGTATCGTTTTATATCGTTATAGTTGATGGCTTATCACACCGTCCACGTAGTATCGTTTTCTTAGGACACTCACCCGTGTTTAGTCTTTGTTTTTGCAAGCAGCGTACAGATGGAACTAATTATTCGGCAGGCTCGAAGCCCGCCCCCACAACTAGACCACCTAACTATCGCAACTAACTTAGAAGAAAGCAAGACAGTACGCGAATCGGGGAACCTTTGTTTCAAGAGAAGAGTAGTGGAGAGAGGAGTTTGTGAGCAACCTTTGCTTATCTGTCCTTCCATGGACCAAGTGCTTCACAGCAGGGTTGGGTTGCTTTAATTCCGGCATGGGGGGCTCTGTGTGAATTGCTGGGATTTCTGTGTATTTATTGCGGGCTCTCGCGAGGAGAGTATCCCGCTGAATACGGTTTACAGAAAGCGTAGTATGCGCCCAATGATAACAACGGGTTACAAAAACCAATATGTACCAAAATAAAAGTTTTAAAATATATGAATGTAGGTAAAGAACAAACAAAAGATGAAGCTAAGAGTAAAAGTATGCAATACTTTTGTTTAGGCATCAAAACTGTGACACATGCGCGACACTTGGCAATGTCGTCATTTTGGCTTTTTTGTTGGTAGGAAAAATAAAAATTACAAAATTATTGGCAAGAAGATAGATGCGAAACCTGCCGCGGCGTTCCCAGGGGCTCAGTGCGGTTGTGTGTGTAGTCTTGTGGCGTATACAGGCGAGCTGAAAAATGCCAGGTTAGTGATGCAAATGGGTGGGGTGGGATGTTAGCCATGTCTACGCCCTTAAGCAGTTAAATATGAGGTGGGTTTGTGGATTGTGCAAATTATTTTAGATGATGGGATGAGGGCTTCGGAGTATTTTACAGATGCATGTACACACTCGCACACTGAGCCGTTGCTGAAAACGCCGCCAGAGCGATTTCTGGTGGCATTGTGAAGACGACTGTTTTTAACTGCTGTTTATGTTTGTTCATGTTCTCGGTAGTTGTTGTTTTGTGTGTAGTTTTCTGACAGTGATAGCAGCAGTCGTCCAGCGAAATCTGATTACGAGCACCTACCTCGCGACGGCGTTCTTCTTCGCGTATCTGCTCGCGCCGCCTCTCCAGTTCCAGCATCATTTCTCGCTCCATTTCGGCCTTGGCTGTCTCGACGCGACGGTTAACCTCTTGCTCAATCTCGTCGCGCCGCTTTTCGAGCTCTTCCTCCACACGCTTCTTGACCAGCATCTCAATACGTTTAGCTGCTTCCTCCTCGACGGTTTTTTGCTCAGCTTCTTTTTGTCGACGCTGCCGCTCCATTTCCGCAAGACGCTCTACCTGCAGCTGGTTTTGCTGCAATTGATTTTGGATATATTTCATGTAATCCCATTGTAAAAGTCATCCAGCTTACCTCATCCAGCTTCTTGAAGCGGCTGCGCTTGTGTCTACTACGCTGAGACTCATGGTCCGAGTATTGGCTGTCACCGCTCGATGAACTGGAACGTTTTCGAGGCTTCGATATAGACGGGGAACTGCGATATTCTGTGTGCCTGTCGCTGCGATGCCTCTCCCGTTCCCGGTCACGACGGCTATGGTGGTTCACCTCTGTTGATTTATCTCTGCCATTTCTCGTGCTGCTGCGCTCGTGGTCGTGGTCCCGATCCCGATTGTGAGACTTACTGCGTTTCTTGTGCTTGCTTTTGTGATGCCGGCGTTTTCCCGACGTGCTCGGAGTGCGTGAACGGGAACCCATTGCGAAATAATTGCAATTATTTCTATCACTAGCTTTATTGGAAGCTGCTTTCAGCTCACACAACAAAACAATCAATCTAATCAAATAAATTTATACAATTTTCACAATGCTCGAAAACAGTGCTGCTAACGTTGCTAGAATCCATTTTTCGGACAACCCTCTAGTGCTATTTTTAGTTGGTATTTTTTAGTGCTTTTCTTTAGTGTTGCACAACTTGCCCCACTTTGTTTATTTTGGTTTTTTTTTATAATTTAAATAGACTACAGGGGTTTTTCACGAGTAACAATTACTTCGTGGAACTTGTCTATCATCACTTGAAAGTCCTTGAAGCCCGCGCATTTCTTAGCCGCTTCCTTGCCCAGCCACTTCAATTCCGTATGCTCCTCGGAAAGAATAGGTTCCTGGTTTGGATTACGCAGCTCAGCCAGCCAATAGATAACGATCTTTGGCTCTTTCTTCACTTCATAATTAAGCGTTATTGGAGTGTTCTTGTCTATAATCAAGTCCTTTTCGTCATATCTGTTTATTTGTTTTGCATGTACTTTAATTAGATTTGTGTGCACATGTGAGGCATCATAAGCACTTACCCGGCTTCCTCTTTTGTTTCCCGCAGCGCTGTAGTGAAATCGTCCTCTCCGGGGTCTACATGTCCCTTGGGTGGGCTCCAATGAAAGCTGCCATAGGAGGCTTTCAACAATAAATACTGGATCTCCCCACAGAGACGCCGAAAAACAACAAATCCGGCAGCTTTTTTCATTTTCTTGCTGTTGATTGGCTTAGTGGTGGAAAGTTTCGACAGGTAATAACATGAAGAACATGGTGTTGAGAAACTGTTGGCAGTTATAACTAACAGTTTGAACTGATATCGCTTGAATGATCGTTTTGCAAATTAGATCTATTTTGTATTTGTTTTTAGAACAAATCAAACTCAACTTAACTAAGCTAATACCCAATTTCTAAACACATATAGTGACCTTCTTTAGATATGAATATGTTTCCTAACACTGCCCTTTTGATTTTGATTGGTTGAAAGTTGAAACGCCTAATAAGTCGGAAAAAAGTATTAAAAGTATTAAATTTCAAAGTACTTGGCGGGAAATTTGAGTTCAAAATTTTTAGTAACATTTGTACCAATTTCGCTGTAGCGATTAAATTAAAAAAAAAAGACAATACGTACTTGATTTAAAGCAATACAATTTAGAGGGAAAACAATAATTAAATTTAAAAATAATTTTAAAATTGAATTTTATTTAGTTATGTAATATAATACTAATTCCATAATACACACAGCACAGCAGTTCGTCCTTGCATAGATGCACTAGGCGAGTGTTTGTCAAACATGGTTTCGGGCATTTTTTATGTCCTGCCCTTTGTCTTGTAGGTAGCAAGCCGCAGTGTGTCGCATGTTGTTGCTGCGGGCCTTGCCGCAATGACCGCAGTGTCCTGGGAAATCCTGTTTGAGAAATCTTTTGAAGAATGACGGTTGTCCGTTGTCTTTGACAGAGTCAGAGTGCGCTAAGCAAGAAGATTGCATAGATGAAGAGTTGTTGTTGGTCTTTCCCTTGCTGGCATGTGTGTCTGTGCTGCCCGTCCTCAAGCCTGATGTTAAGTTGGGCTTTGGCAAAATTGTTCGGACATACATGGACCTCCCGACTTTTGGTCCCAACAATTCACCCGCCTCAGAATAGGCGCCAGCCTTTTCGGGTATTGGGACTCTGGAAAAAGAAGTGTTCGTTGCTTGTATGGAGGACTCCACACACAAGAACAATACTCCAATATCGGGCGGAAAATCGGATTTTACCCCCAATTATGGTGTAAAGATAGAAGAACTGCCCCGTTTCCGTTCGCTTTCCATTTCAGAAAAATAATAGAATTTCTTATCTCTTTAGTTGTGCGCGCAGTTTTTGAAAAGTTTTATTGATATCACTTAACATACATGGTCTCTACATGTTACATACACTTACATACTGTATACAAAGCTTCCTTGCTTCCAGAAGCTTGGTTGTATATATAAGGTCATAAGGTATGCAAACCAATAACCATTAGAAGTTAAAATACATAAAATTGATTTTTCAAACGGATGAAATTCTTGTTTTAGTGTCAAAAGTCCTTTGAGCTGGTAATATCAAATAGAACATCCAAAATCGAGACAAATCTTTTAAGATTCACTGCTTTGCACGTTAGGGTTGACAAATATTTAAAAAAATCATATCGGTGATATATTTTACTTGAAAATATATCAGTATAATATAAAATATATCACTGCAAAAATATCGATATATTTGATATATAAATTCAATTCCGTGCTCATCGGAAATAAATAACTCCCATAAATAGAACATAAACCGTATCTTATATGTTTTTAACATATTTAATCTTTATTACACTTGTCTGTGTTTTTAATTTAACTTATTCAACTATTCTTCGCTTTACGTACACAATTCTTTTGAGTAAGTGTTTATGGTTTTTGGTTCAAAACACCCACAGTACGAAAATCCTCCAGATCATGTTTCTATCTCGCACACCTCACAAAAACCACCACTGCTGCATAAATTGCACTTTCTTATTTTTCTAGAAAACTTTGAGAACAAATTCTTTTGCGGAGGTGGTAATTGGGACCAAAGCGCTAACCATACAGTCAACCCACTAACAAACACTTGCGGTGTCCGTGTAAAGTCGAGAAAACCCCAGTTTCCAGAGCTAAACGAATAGGGACGTGGGAGACATACACTTGTATCAGTGTTATATCGCAGCAATCTTGGAGCAAAATTCGGTGGCTCCAGCTCTTATAGTCTCTGAGCCAGACTGCGAGACGGATAGACATATTTCTTTAGTTACCGAACTTGAAATATCAACAAATATCGCAAAAATATATCAATATATTGATATTTTGGGAAAAAATGATGATATAAATATATTTTTATTTACAAAAAAATATCGATATATTGATATAATTTGGACAACCCTACTCCATGTGCGCAAAAAATTAATTCATTACATAAAAAAAGCGTAAAATTAAACTTACACGATGTACGCGCTACTTCGCCGCTTTGTGGGGACCTCTATCCCAACCAATCAGCTGAGATGTTACTCCTCCTTCACGCCGAGGGATGTGGTGCGGGACACCACCGATGAGGCCGGCACGCTGCTCACACGCTTTGCCAAACACATCGCGCTGGAGCGATACAAGGATAAGGAGCAGGTGCTGCCTCCAACGACGGTGCGCTATGCGGACTATTTTCCAATCACAGACGGTCGCTACTTCCAGCGATCTGTGGAGAAGACAGACGCCTCACAACTGCCAGCTCTGATCATTCTAGCCTCCAGCTATCGATCCAATGCAGCAGTTCCAATGTATGTAACCGCTCTCAACACATTGGATGCTCATGCTGTGGCACAGCTGGGCAAGATGGACACCTCAACGGTGCTTGAAACGCTGTACTCATTCCTTTTCCTTATACCAAACTGGCTCAAGCGAACGGACTTCCATCAGGAAGCAATGCGCCGGCTGGCCAAGGAGAGTTTCCATAACAACAAGGAGCGATTTCTGCAAGTTTGCTTCTACATGGGTCTGCAAAAGAAGCAGACAACATCGAACGACTTCCAGATGCTGCTGGAGGAGCACCTTCCAAGGCATTTGCCAGCTCTAACTGAATTGGATCTCGCTCTGATTAGCAATGCCGCCTACAAGACGTCTACCGTCATCACGGGCAGTGCAAAAGAGACTTATGACACAAATTTGGTCAATGCGGTGTTAGGCTTGAAGCTCACACCAGATAACTCTGCTTTGCTGATCTCTTTAATCAAGGCTCTGCGGCTGCAGCGTGTCCGAGACGAGCGTGTGTGCCAGCATCTGCAGCAAATTTGCTTGGACTCTGCTCAAATAACCCAAATAGAGCCTCGAGGATTGGGACACATTTTCGCCTTCTTTGCCGAACAACTTTGGGACCAAGAAGAATGCATGACCGTCGTTGTGGAGCGACTGTTGAGCTTGCTTAAGCCAGGCGACCTGAGAGCCAAGGATTTAGCCACATTTCTGTGGTCTAGCTCGCAGCTCAATTGTCAATTTTCCGCCGCACACCTGAGGCAGCTGGAGCTTGCTGCGCTGCGAAAACTCGATCATGGAGATTATAATTATTACCCAGACAATCTCGTAGATACCTGCCTATCCCTGTACACGTTGGGACACTACTCAAAGGATTTGATAGACGCCGCCGAAGAGCTAAAGGCCACACAGCATCGCTCAAAAGCACAACCCAAGGTGGACAGTCGTTTGACAGTCTTGCGTTCGGCAGTGGCCATTGAGCATCCATCACTGTCCAAATTGAAAACCGAACAAGTCTTCAAGGAGTTCAACCGCGCCCCTGGCTACTTGCTTAAGGAACGCTCGGACTTCACCAAGTATGCCGAACAGCTAGGCCAAGATGCTGAGGTGGAAGGCGTTGATTTAGTCTGCCCCATCAATGGCATCAATATACCCAGCCTGCGTGTGCAGACAATGGGCGATGAGGCGAGCGTGTACTTCGTTGAGCTACTCACTGCACAACAAACATTAAAGTTTAGCAAGAAGTCCACATCATTAATGCGCCTCAAGCAGCGCCTCTTGGAATCCTTAGGCCACAAAGTTGTTATGGTAGGAAGTCCTCCCATTAATCACAGCGATTAAGTCGTACTAATTGTTGTTCTTTATAGCTGCACTCTGGAAATATGGCGACCAGTGCCAAGGAGCTGCATACGCTGCTACAACCAAAGGTGGAGAGCATAGAGGCTGCTGAGGTCGTCAGCAACTGAATCGTGTGATATTGAGGCTGATTTTATATGTAGGCTTCATAGGCTAGTTACAGATTGTAGCTTTATTTAACAGTGTTTTTATGTACGTGTAAATATTATTTAAATATTAATAGCACTAAACAACAAATAATGTATAATACAAGGGAACGGGTTACGCGACAGACACACTTCGCTCTCATCGAATGGATTTAATCTTTGCCTTGAGTACGACATAGGAAGCGAATCGGAAAATGACAATCATTGCACACAGGGCAATGATATCATTCCAGAACTGATCGCCAGACATTGTAATCTCCTCCAGAAATTTCTTTGGATACCTGAAGGCACAAAATACAAATAAGTCTCCAGATTTACACCGAAAAAGGATTTATCTTTACCTGTAATGGCAATATGGCGCCTCATTGCACTCTAGCACCCCCCGATCTAGTCCGTAGATGGCAGATATAAAGCCCTCCAGGCCATATCTTAAATATGATATGTGACTGCCCCAGCGCAAGTAGCTGGGAAGGTCACGCAACGTCACGCCAAAGCCAGCAAACATCATCATGGGAATGGTAAGCACAGGAGCCAGGAAGGTGCCATTAGTCACATCGAACCACGCACCAATCATCAGCCCAAAGCTATGGCCCACAAACACTATCAGCAAACTGATGGCAAAGAACATCCAAAAGCGAACCCACTCCATGGGCTGGTAGCTCCACAAATAAACGATTGAGGTGAATAAAAAGCAACTGATGATCTGCAATAGAAAACTTGAGATAGCGATCTTGAGATGAATATTCCAATATATTACTCACCGATATGGGCAGATCCACGAGTGTCATGGCTGTATAGTAAGCTTTCATGGAGTACCAGCGGTTGAAGTGTTCCTTGATCAGAATGGACATCTCAATGGGGACTGTTAGAGGCGGTAAGGATTAACATCAATTATGGCTGATGAAAATGTTTACTTACAGGTTAGAACTGTTAACATCATCGTGGTCATGGAGTGGTGCATCAATATGGCAAAGAGCAAATTGTAATTATCCAACACACGCGATCCCTCGCGACCCGTGTGATCGTACATGGCACCGAACAGCAGCGCCACAGCTATGTTAACCCCAATGCGGAGATGTGTCATGGTCGTGTCACGGCGCGCCTTGATGAAGCCCCTGCGCAGCAGCACCGAGCACTGGTTCGCATAGCTGGTGTCCTCCAACGAGTGGCTCTTGGTGCGTTTGGGTATGGGATACTTTCGCATCAATGCCTCGGAGCGCAGCACCGAACTGGCATTGTTGAACCATGTCAGGCAGCTGCCATTCTCTGTGGCGCTTTTGAGTGTATCTATCTTGTCATAGCCATACTCCCCGCATGCCAGTTCGATGACTGAGGAGGGGAAATAAATGCTATAAATCTGTGCCTTCTTCTGCTTCTCTTTTACTTACTATAATCCGCTGGGTTGTGATACATGGGACAAGGCAGGTCCACTGCTTGCAGGAAAGGGACCAACTTCTCTGTGCCACCCTGGTAAACGCAGTTGCCTGATGACAGAACGTAGACCTGATCGAATATCTGAAATAACTTGGCCGTGGGCTGGTGAATGGTGCAAATGATGGTGCGGCCCTGGGTGGTCAGTTTCTTGAGCAACTCGAGAACCTTGGTGCAGGAGCTGCTGTCCAAACCACTGCATAAGAGGATGAGAAATGGTTAAGAAACAAGCTAAAAGTGGCAAAGGGTTAAAGATCCTACGTGGTGGGTTCGTCTAGAAACATGACAGTGGGATTATTGATCAGCTCCATGGCAATGGAGAGCCTCTTCTTCTGACCACCTGACAGGCGCATTGTGAGTGTCTGATCGTGATCGTACAGACCCAAGAGCAGCAGAATATCTTCGATCTGTAAAGAGTAAATCAAACATTCAAATCACTCCAACTTTTCTTCATTTAAACATCTTTCAGACTTACCCTGCTCTCCTTCTCCTCGTAGCTGACGGTATGACCCAATTTCAAGTCTGCGGCTATATGCATATTCTCGTTCACCGTCAACAGGGGCTGCAGACGATCATCCTGTGTTATGTAGCAGGACATGCGACGGAAGGAGGCTGCACAAAGAGAGGAGAGACCATTAGTAGGTGAATGTTTTTCCCATAATTTCCCCCACTACTTACGCAAATTGCGTCTGCGACCATTCAGCAATATGGAACCATCCACGCCGGTGGTTTTGAAACCGGAAAGTGCATCCAGCAAGGTGGACTTGCCCGCACCCGAGGGACCCATAATGGCCACAAGCTGACTGCCAGGAAACTTGCCACACACATTGTGTAAGATTTCCTTAGATCCTAAAAAGAGAAGAGAAGTGTTCAAAATGAAGCCATAATAATAGCAGTTATAGCAGCTTTTCTCGCTGTGTGACATCCCGAGTGCACTCGCCATTTTGGAAAGCCAGCTCATAGGGGCAATGGGTAACCGGTTCAAGCAACTACTTATATTCGAGCAATCCATCTGGAACTACATAACAAACTAGAATACTTCACCCATTTTACGATACACGTAGAAGCAAAGCATTGATGGATGTATCAAAGTGCATCTTAATTGGGTAAGTGACAGAGAAAAATGAATAAACTCGCTAGCAGAGGCAAAATTCAACTTCCTACAGGCATAATTAGTATAAAGAATTGTTCTTGGTGCCCTAATCAAGTTACCAGGGGGAAAACAATGTCGATATAGATATCATGTTCTTGTTGCTTATTTCTTTGGTTCTACATGGACTTTGAAATCGGCAAAAATGGCTTGTAAAACCCCCCGAAAGCGCTGTGATATCGAATTCAAAATACTCTTTCGCTTTTTGCATTGTGGAACGCTGTTTAATTTGACCCAACTTTCGACATGGACTCGTATGAAAAGGAAGGAAACTTATGAATGATTCGGCAATGGAATAGGAAGCGGGAAACGCGTTGACGCGGGGGCTAGTCGCTTATCTAATCAACTTTGAAGAACAAAGTTAGCGAAAGAGCACGGCAAAGCAGGTGTTTATGGCTGATTGGTATGTGAAGCCTAACCAAAATCAATAACCTTGAAAGACACTACTGCTTTACCATAGGATCGATCCCTAATCGTGGATATAAACTGGCAACTGGGAACGGTTACAGTAATTATTCTTTTTCTCCGAGTTGCCGCATAAGAAGTAGCCGCTGATCATAAACCGTATACAGTCATGTCCGCAAGCTATTATTAAATAATAACCAGTTGGACAATCTTATCGAACCATATCTTAGATCATGCGATCGTAGCTGAATGTGCCCTTACCGCGATTGAAGCCCAAGTTCACAGTCAGCGACAGCTCCTTGAACTCAATGTCCACAGGCTCGCGTGCCGGCAAATTGTTGAGGGCATCCGTGTCAAAGTGCACCTCCTCCTCGGCCACAGGCTCCAGTGGCGGCTGCTTGCTGGCCGCGGCACCATTGCTGTATGCCACTTGAGGTGGAGTTGGGTTAGCCGTAGTGCTGTTGGTGGTGCTGGTGGCTGTGTTCGTCTGACCATTACGCCAATTGCTCGCACTGCTCAACGGCACTGTGGTGACATTGTAGACTCGTCCAGAGTTGGCTTCTCCAATCTCGATGCCGAGCCCAATGCCAGCGACACCATCGCCGGCATTAAAGAACTGCTCCCGCGCTGTCGGCATTATCTTTGGTCAACTGCAAAAAAGAGATTCAAATGCAAACAACTTTGATTAATCCTCATGAATCCAATCCAATCCAATTTACAGCCATTCAAGCCAAACTTCCAAACCAAGGTGAATTTACTTCCAAGGTGACCCTCTTTACCACAGGGAATCTCTAACCCTTTATATGAGCGTGGTGAATAAGTGATTGGTCCTCCCTTGTTCGTAAATTAGCCTAGTTCCAGACCAGCCCGGCAGTTTATTGAGATTTTTCCCACAAACGGGTTTAACTGAGAGCGACTCATCATTTCGCACTTTGATCGAACGCTGACTGATTTCGAATCAAATCAACCTTTGAGGCTGTCCTCTCCTCTCCTCTCCTCTCCTCTCCCTTAGTTACTGATGAGAGGCTGCATCAAGTGGCTTCCTGTGAACAGAGACCGGCGCTGAGTTAATCCGAGGTTCATCTGATTCGGACTCTACCGCTGACGAGCGAAATGACGAAACATTTCAATTATCTCCAACAGCACCAATTAAATGTGCATTTACATAAGCGAAAATGTAGCACGCAGTTTACTCCACACACTTCGCATACAGCCAGAGCCATTAAATACGAGTAAGTACATTAAATGCCAGCACAGATTTTGCAAGGAGATCAAGGCACAGCCAGGGAGGCAATCAAATGCGAATAAAAATTAACAATAGTTGTGACAATTGCCGAATGCCCCCCATCTGCATTGATCTGCTACAATCCGATGGGATTATGGGATCTGATTCGGATTCAGATTGCAACAAAAGCATTGTTTAACGTACAAAATAATTGCAATCGTCGTGCAGTCGTTGTCGTTGTCGTTGTCGTTGTGACGAGGCCATAGCTGGTACTTCTGTTTCTTCTGTGTGTCATCTTTAACCCGCGGCATCTTATCGCCATCAGGGGCTATGGTGCGAAAACAAAAGCCACAGCACGCCCACCGTTCAGCTGGGACATTTACCTTTTGCATGGGGAGAGGTGAGCATTTGCTAATGAGGAACTGCACTTGAATTCGCGTAAACAGTTATCAGCCGTTCGCTGCAATTACTACACATGTCAATGCCCCAAGTAGAGACCCCTGTGAGTCTCTAGGGCTAAAACGTAGGGTGAGGCTAGACCTACACTACTCCAATGTGACGTTGACGAGTCTTAATCAGTTGTATTTCACTATTGATTGATACGAGTGCTGTGCTGTCTCTCTGTGCTGTCACGTTTTGCTGGACTTGCTGTTTTCTTGGACAGAGAACGACACCGAGTCTTATTTAGACATGATTTTCCTTTGTTCAGTCTTGGATTTACATTTCATATTTGCCTGTGACTACTCTGACTATCCCCACATACTTGTGTACACATTCTGCCCTGCTTGGCTATCTTCGGGTCGGCACCTCCCCCCCTTCTGAAAAATGTATGCTGGGAACAAGGTGAACTCACTTACAGGGTGACGTCTTCACCACAGGGGACCCATAGTCAATCTCCAAACCTCTTCTAGTCTATATGTTCGTGGTCAATAAGTTATTGGTCCGCCCACAAAGTCACCTTGTAAGAAAATTCACCTTGTGCTGGAGCTATTATATAAATTCTCTCTCGAAGTAGATACAGATAGTATGTGCACACATTTGTCTGTATGCCTATGTGCCGATGCTGACAACATTAAACATTGTTTTGTTTTGTATACTTTGCTCGCCTCACAAACCGGTTCATAGATCTTCGCCAATGCAGCTGGAGAGCACGGGAGCACGGGAGAAGTGAGAGATTCAAAGCAAAGAAAGCCAAACAACAGCTGTTCCCAGAGCAAATTAGAGCAACAGCAGCCCCCAAATCGATCGAAGAGATTAATGCTTGAGCTTTGTCTGAAGAAATCTCAAGAAATTGAAGGTACTCCTTGTATGAGTTCACTTCCACAGACGTCTGTGGGTTAGCACTTCTTCTAGCTGGAAGTTCCATGAGTTCAACCTTTTTTCATTTGCATCCATTGTATTCTATCCTTTGTATCCAAAAGGAGTGCTTTACTCCTCACTGATTTACACATAATGCCATTGATATTTGGCAAGCAAACACACTGATAAGGCCTGAACCTGAAAACGTATTCCCCCAAGCCACAATTCACAATTAATTAAATGTTTCTTGGGTCGTGCCTTAATTTATTTGTTTAATTTGTTTGTGTTTTGTATCGTTTTTTGTTAATATTTGTATATTTTCTTGTCCGCGCTTTCAGTGTTTTTTGGGGAATCCTTACCCGATTGAATGTCAGCAGGTGGTAAGATTTTCGTAACGGAACGGAACCCTTTCGGTTGTATCTACGGGTGTGAACTCGCGATTAATCCAATTAACCGGGGAGTAACAGCGTCTTCGGAGCGACGTACACGACTGGCGGTGCCAGTAAACACACAAATAATAATCCCCATCTAGTTGCGGGGACTGTTCAAACGCGTTCCCTCAGAATTCGAATTCCGGTAGAGTCCGATCGCCGAGCGGCCAGCTGACGACGACGACTCATACAAGACCCACACAAGCACACAAAGAACACGATCGAGCGTCTCAGCCTAGTGGAGATACACGCACACATACCGGAATCGTGTGCTGTGTGGGCTTTTGTCTCTGGCTGTGTGCGTGCGTGTGTGAGTGAAATGCAAGCTTTATCAGCCGAAGTCCGCAACGCCACTCGGCAGCCGCTGCTACTGCGCCTTGCCTAAGGCTTTGACGGTTACCTCTCTCTGTTGGCTTATATTTTGCATTGGTTATTAATGTTTTGCCGCTGTTATATTTGTCGTTTTCCTTCACTGATAAGAAGCTCACACTCTTTCGCTCACACACACACACACACAGGCACACTCTTGAATAACTGCTAACAACGCAGCTGATTGGGTTTTTGGTAGCACAATTTACAGCCCGATCGCTCGGGTCACAAGTCCACATATCGAATTACTTCGATTCTTCATTTATTATATGTTGTATGTGTGCAGTCGTATTGTTCGAAATAAAATGTTTTCTTTGCTGATGTTGGTTTCTGCACTGAATGGCATCAACAGCGTAGAACAATGCACAGCTCTATACGAGTCATGACATTATTGAGAAATTTTACAATGGTACTAAATATTTACATATTTACGTACGATCCACGGGTCGTAGCATGACTTTACCTGGTGTACCTGTACCCTGGGATCACTCTGTCCTCTGGGACGTGGTGAATTACTAATAACTAAGTTATTTCACCATGCTTTGGGATCTTACCACCTTTGTGTCTCTCTCAATTGATTCACCACTTTAAAATTATAACTAAATTGTTCGTCCTTTGTCCCGAATCAAAGCAGTAGCCATAATGACATATTTCTATGTTGGAGCGCCCTGCCCAAGCTCGAATGTTTCTTTCAGTTTTTGTTGTTTTGTTTAGTTTGTAGAACAAACTTGATTGATAAGTATTTATTTAGCTATTATCGTAATTGTTCCCTCATTACACAATCCATGAACCGACAGTCCGTCGCTGTTAGTACTATGATTCAATCCTCTGGGTTGGACTTTGAACGTTCTCTCGACTCTAGCTAAACAAAATCGAATTGATATTGTATGTTCCCAAGCTTAGTAATCGCAAAGTTGTATAGAGAATAATGGAAAGAAAAGAACAATATGAAATGAAATCGGGTTGAGCGATACGTCATGGACTTTTTAACTGTAGAAGTGCCATTTCGGAGTTTGAGCTGGTTCCGGCGGCTCGCGCCCCGATTAGCCTCGAGCACTTGATGACATTTTAGGGAACATTTCGGTAGGTTCCGGGCATGGGAGTGAACAAATCTCTGAGGGAAGTCAAATATGTGCTATAAATAACAATTTACATAAGTGTTTAATAGGTTCAAATATTGACTAAAACACAATCTGCATGGCTGTGAACAAGCAACTAACCAGCCAAATGATAAGATTACAATTTACGATCGTTCACGCCATACCTGCACACGCGTTAGTTATAGGAAATCGTAAATAAACCGCCTGG